CCCACTGTCCGGCCATCTGCTCAGTGTCCCGGCTGGCCTGTGGTCAGCGCCCAGTGGGGAAAGGGCTCGGATGAAATGATAGCCACCGGGTAGGGCCCTCCTGCCAGTGGGCTGAGTGGGGTGGCCCGCAGGCCCTGCACCACGTGACCCTGTGTCTGTGTCGTGCTGAAGCGCTACGTGGACGGCGGCATTTCGGACAACTTGCCACTCTACGAGCTGAAGAACACCATCACAGTGTCCCCTTTCTCGGGCGAGAGTGACATTTGCCCGCAGGACAGCTCTACCAATATCCACGAGCTCCGGGTCACCAACACCAGCATCCAGTTCAACCTGCGCAACCTGTACCGCCTCTCCAAGGCCCTCTTCCCACCCGAGCCCATGGTGAGCCCGCGCTGGTGTGACTGTGGCCTGCACAGCCGGCGTCTCACTGAGCTCCAGGGGAGACAGCTGCCCCTTCCACTTATATCCCCAGTGCCCCCGTGGGGCGGGGTGGCTTGGGGACATGTGCAGCCTCTTCCGTTGTGCTGTGGCCCGCACAGCCTCTCTAGGGGCAGTCTGTCCAGCCTCTGTTCAGCCTGGATCTTGTTCTGGATCCAACATACCCCGTGTTTCCCCGAAAACAAGAGCTACCCATAAAATAAGCCCTGGCAGGATTTCCAAGCATTTGCGCAATAGAAGCCCCACCCCGAAAATAAGACCTAGTGACGGGCGTGGCTACACAGCTTATCTGCACAACCCATGCATTTTCGTGGCGGAGCGCGAAAGAGGAGGATCAGCCCTTCTCATCTGCCCCGTGAGAGCTCCATTGCCCGACATGAGAGATGGGGGCCGATGGTTCTAAAGGAAATAGAGTCGCAAGAAATTCAGGATGGAATTCGGGGTTTGGAGAGTGATGATGATGTTCCAGAAGAAGACGACTTAACTGTATTTGAATAAATGTAGATTGTTGTACTGTACTTAACCACTTTGGTACAACACTCACTGGCCACAAAACCTTGCCCACAGCCGGCACTCACAGTCTGCACAGTAGTCTGTGCTGTGCATTGACGACCAATCTGTTTTGCTCTTGTGTGATGAGGAAAGCTTTAAAGCACTAAAAGCTTGTTTTACTTTATAGGCAGCTTTACTTGTAGTGTAAATCAGAATAGGTAACATACACATATATGTTTTTATTACGTTATTTTTAAATGTTCACAATTTTATTATTTTATTTTGAGACAGAGTCTCACTCTTTTGCCCGAAGTAGAGTGCTGTGGCATCAGCCTAGCTCACGGCAACCTCAAACTCCTGGGCTCAAGTGATCCTCCTGCCTCAGCCTCCCGAGTAACTGGGACTACAGGCATGCGCCATCATGCCCAACTAAATTTTTTCTATATATTTTTAGTTCGCCAATTAATTTCTTTCTATTTTTAGTAGAGATGGGGTCTCACTCTTGCTCAGGCTGGTTTCGAACTCCTGACTTTGAGCAATCCGCCTGCCTCAGCCTCCCAGAGTGCTAGGATTACAGGCATGAGCTACCACGTCCGGGCCACAATGTTATTTTTATTTGTTTATTTATTTTATTTTTTTGAGACAGAGTCTCGCTTTGTTGCCCAGGCTAGAGTGAGTGCCATGGCATCAGCGTGGCTCACAGCAACCTCAAACTCCTGGGCTCAAGCAATCCTCCTGCCTCAGCCTCCCGAGTAGCTGGGACTACAGGCACGTGCCACCATGCACGGCTAATTTTTTCTATATATATTAGTTGGCCAATTAATTTATTTCTATTTATAGTAGAGGCAGGGTCTCGCTCTTGCTCAGGCTGGTTTCGAACTCCTGACCTCCAGCAATCCGCCCGCCTGGGCCTCCCAGAGTGCTAGGATGACAGGCGTGAGCCACCGCGCCCGGCCTCACAATTTTATTTATTTTTTTTTTATTTTTTTTGCTTTTTCGTCAGAAATGGACTACGAACTTCTCTTTTTTTTTTATTTTTTTTTCTTTTTTTTGCCACAATTTTATTTTGATAAATGAAAAATGAGAAAAGTCATATCACGGCTCTCGGCTAAAAATCAACATGGGTGTTCATCTGTGGCTATCAACTATATTCGACGCTGGTACTGAAGTGGTTAAAAAAAAATAATACATCCCCTGAAAATAAGCCCTAGGGCGTCTTCTTAAGGAAAAATAAATATAAGGCCCTGTCTTATTCTGGGGGAAACACGGTAGGTCGTTGGGGGTTGGGGTTGGAGGTGGCTGCCGAAGGGAGCCCGGGGACTCTAAGGGGGCAGAACGGGGCGTGCCTGACCCCCTCTGCTCACATCTACCCGTCCCCGCCGCAGGTGCTTCGGGAGATGTGCAAACAAGGCTACCGGGACGGCCTGCGCTTCCTGCGGCGGAACGGTGCGTGGGCTGGCGGGGCGGGCTGGCGGGCGGGCTGGCGGGCGGGGTGGGCCAGGCACGCTCTGCAGCCCTGTCCTGCTCAGGCGGCAGGTGCGATGGCCACGCTGATCGCCTATCCCTCTGCCTTCTTACCTCGCCCCAGGCCTCCTGAACCAGCCCAACCCCTTGCTGGCACTGCCCCCCGCCCACCCCGGTGCCCCTGAGGAGGAGGCCGAGGAAGAGGCCGCAGAGAGGGCCCAAGTGGAGGATCCCCTGCAGCCGCCCAGGGAAGATCACATCCTGGAGCACCTGCCGGCCCGGCTCAATGAGGGTGCACACCGGGGGAAGGGGCGGAGACCCTGGGAGAAATTGAGGCCCGAGTGGCCCTGGGGTCCCCTGCCAGCCGCCAACCTGCCATCCGTGTCCGCCCGCAGCCCTGCTGGAGGCCTGCGTGGAGCCCAAGGACCTGATGACCACGCTCTCCAACATGCTGCCCGTGCGCCTGGCCACGGCCATGATGGTGCCCTACACTTTGCCCCTGGAGAGCGCCGTGTCCTTCACCATCCGGTGTGCGCCGCGGGGGTCGCGAGAGGGGTGCTGGGGCCTGAGCTTCGGGATTGTCCACTAGCAGCGGCCTGCCGCTCGGGGAAGGCGGGGGGCGCAGGTGCCGCGGGTGGGCGCGAGGGCCCGGCCGTGGCCCTGACGCCGTGCCCTTCACCCCCCTCGGCAGCTTGCTGGAGTGGCTGCCCGACGTTCCTGAGGACATCCGGTGGGTGAAGGAGCAGACCGGCAGCATCTGCCAGTACCTGGTCATGCGCGCCAAGAGGAACCTGCGCAGCCGCCTGTCCGCCAGGTGAGCCCGCCCGCCGCCCGCCCTGCGCCCCCAACCCCTGCGGCCAGCGCGTCTGGGGGGGGGGCGGGGGGCCTCCCATTGAAGCACCACCCCCCCCCCCCGTGGTCCCGCCCCTCCCGCAGGCTGTCGGGGCAGGTGGAGCTGCGCCGCGCCCAGTCGCTGCCCTCCGTGCCGCTGTCGTGCGCCGCCTACAGCGAGGTGCTCCCCAGCTGGATGCGCAACAACCTCTCGCTGGGGGACGCGCTGGCCAAGTGGGAGGAGTGCCAGCGCCAGCTGCTGCTGGGCCTCTTCTGCACCAACATGGCCTTCCCGCCGGACGCCCTGCGCATGCGCGCGCCCGCCGGCCCCGCCCCCGCGGACCCCGCGCCCGGGCCGGGCCTGCCCCCCTGCTGAGCGGCTCCGGGCGGGCCCCCGGGGCCCCCTGGGGTCCGCGGGCTGAGCACCCGGCCCCCGCAGCAACCTTCCTGCCCTGTGAGTCGGGGGAGGGGGCTGGCCCAGACCCGATCCCAGCCCTCTCCCCGACCCTCTGCGGAGTGAGGCGACGGTCCCCCCTTGCAGCTGCCAAGGGGGGGCTTTGCCTCGAGCCTCCGCAGCCACTCACTAGCAGCAGCGGTGCTGGGGGGGGGGCGCGCTCGGAGTACCTCCCCCTCCGCCACGGAGGCCTCACCTGTGCCTTAACCTTCCAGCGCTACTCCTGAGAACCTCGCACCTGCGCCTCCCTCCCCCTTTTCCACGTTTTGCTGCAGACTGTTAAGATTTATTTATTTTCGCCGAAGCAGATGTAATAAATGCCACAGCTCAGCCTCTGCCTACTTCACTTGCGTGTGACTCCGCTTCCCTCACCCACCGGGAGGCGTGGCAGACAGGGGCTGCCCCCTGCCCCCGCTGACCAGGGTCTCCACAGCCGCAGGGCACGTCTCCTAGGTCGCACTCTCTGCGGGCACTGGGGGCCTGGAGTCCGAGGGGTTCCCGCCCACCCCTCTAGCTGGGACCGCAGGCCCCTCCCTCTGCCCCCCGAGGCCCCCTGGCTGACCTTGGGGCCCAGCTTCGTGAGAGCCAGTGGAAATATCTGGCACCAAGATCCTCGATAAAGGACGACTAAAATGTTTGCAAAAGGTGGAGTCCGCACGTCCACTCCACACGGCGATATGGCTGGGGCGTGGGGCTGCTTCTGGGGCTGGATGGCAGTGGAGGGTGAGGCTCCTGGAGCTGAATGCCAGGGTCCTGGGAGTGCTGGGCCCCTGCTCCACCTTGGGCGTTTGGCCCAAAGCTCTGTGTTCCTCTCCCATCATTGCAAGCCTCCCCGGCCAGGTGCACATGCCTTCCTGTTCCCCTGGCCCCACGTACTGTCTCCTGCCAGTATATACCGTGTTTCCCCGAAAATAAGACAGGGTGTTATATTTGGTTTTCCTCAAGAAGACACCCTAGGGCTTATTTTCAGGGGATGTGCTATTTATTTAAGTATGGCACAACAATCTACATTTATTCAAATGCAGTTAAGTCGTCGTCTTCTGGAACATCATCATCACTCTCCAAACCCCGAATTCCACCCTGAATTTCTTGTGACTCTATTTCCTTTAGAACCACTGGCCCCCATCTCTCCTGTCGAGCCACAGAGCTCTCACGGGGCAGATGAGAAGGGCTGCCCGTCTTCTTTCCCGCTCCATGACGAAATGCACGGGTTGTGCAGATGCGCTGCGTAGCCACGCCTGTCACTAGGGCTTATTTTCGGGGTAGGGCTTCTATTGCGCAGGTGCTTAGAAACCCTGCTAGGGCTTATTTTATGGGCAGGTCTTATTCTCAGGAAACACGGTAGGAGGGGTCTACCGTATTCAGGCAGGTCCTAGCTGAAGGGCGCTCCACCTTGCTCAGGAGGACACACGGTTCCCTGAAAGCATCCTCTGTGGGGAGTGGGGCAGCGGGTAGAATAAGGCCAACTCCCCCCCACTCCTAACCAAAAAAAGACCCATGGGGTGAGGGGTGCAGGTGCAGGCTTGGCTGGCTACCCAGACCTCTTAGCCCTGCCAGGCCCAGCCCCCACCTGCCCCTCCCAGAAGGCGTGGGGCAGCTGTGGCGACAGACCCCAGCCAACAATAACGGTTGGTTGTGGGACCTGGGACCGGGCGAGCCGGCCAGGCAGGTCCCTGGTGAGCCCGTGCCAGGGGCCACCCCCCTCGGTCTCAAGGTCCTGTCCTGTAGGCACAACCTGTGGTGGTTCAGCTGTGTCCGGGCCTTTTCCCTGCAGAAGCACAGGCCGAACCGTCACCCCCACCCCAGCACTGCCGGGCAGGACAGCCAGGCGGGCCCTCCAGGTGGGTGCAGGGGCTGGGCTGGGGCTGGGAGGGGACCCTCGGAAGTGGATGGGGCTTCCTCCCCCGGCAGGAGGGCGGCACTCGGGCCTCACCCAGCTCCCCTTCCAGTCCTCCCACAAGGAGAACTCCAGGCAGGGCTGTGCCCCTACAGGGGTGCTGTGCTACCTGGGAAGGTGGGGTCTCCCCCAGCCCCCCCTCATATGCACTCAACACTGGCAAGTTAAATGCTGTTTTCTAGTATATGTGTACATTGCTTACGAATATGAAAAACCAAAATTGAGAGAGTACCGAGAAAAAGTAAAGCCTCCCCACCCACCCCTAGAGATAACCACTGAAGGCATTTGGTCTATTTCCTGCCCTGGCTTTTCCTACACACACTTTTTTGGCGCCTTACTTGGGCTCCTCCGGACAGGGGCGAGGGGTCAGCTGTCGCTGGTGTCAGCTCCCCGTCCCCGCCAGCCTTGCCCCTGCTCCGGGGTGGGTCCCCAGGTCTCCAGGGGACTGCGCTGCCCCACTGCTCTGCTGGGACAGACGCTCGGGCCCGCTGGGGGTCCGGACTTCGTCCTTACGAGAGGAGGGGACGCGGCGACCGCAGCACAGGGCGGCCGCTTCGCCTCGAGCCAGCCCGCGCAGGGGTCTCGGCGCCTGCAGGCAGCGGGGGCCGCGCCCCGCGGGAGCCCCAGGCGCGCAGCCCGGGTCCGAGCGGGGCGGGGCGCGCTGCGCGTTTCCGGGAGGAGAGGTCCGGGCGCGCGGCAGGTGCGGCGGCGGCTCAGCTCGCAGGTAGGAGCTCACGAGTCTGGCCGCTGAGGTCCCACCGCCACGCCCGCCAGCCCGCAACGCCCCTCCCGGCCGCCGTGGGGGCGGGGGGCGCGGACCCTGCGCGTGGCGATCGGGGACTTTGGTTGCCCCTCGGGGCGCGCGGTGGCAGGGCGCGCGGTGGCAGCGGCGGGCTTGGCCCCCAGAGGTGCGGGGAGCGCGAGCTGCTCGCGGGCCCCACCCGGCCAGCCCTTCCTTCTCGCTCGCTGGAGCCCGGCTGCAACGCAGTTTCCGGCTGGAGGGACCGCCGGTCCAGCCCTGGAGCCGCCGGCGGGGTGACGACCCTGCCCCGGTGAGGCGACTAAGCGGCCTGGGGGGCAATGGCCCTGGTCCCCCGTGTCCCCTCCTCTCACCCGCCGCTTCCTCGGACCTGCCATCTCTGGAGATCTCCCCCCTCCAAGGAATATGGGTGGGGGAGGATCCCAGCGTCCCAGGTCTGGAGGGGGGCGGGGAGGTGCTGCCAAGCTAGGCAGTAACTTAGGGAAGTCCCGGCTCAGGACGTTGTGGGAACAACAGGTGGTTCCAATTAGGGGGCGGATCATCCCTGCAAGGGGGTGGGGAGGGAAGCCCCAGAAGGTTCTGGGATGGGGAGGGGGCGGGCCCCAGTGGGAGGCAGAAGGGGTGCTAGGCCCAGAATCTGGGGTGCTCCTGACAAGGAAAGGCACAGGGAACCCAACGTTGGGACCTTGAATCTGCAGCCGGGACCCAGTGTGGGGGAAGGGAGGAGTTTCCTCTGCCTGCCAGCTGTCAGGGGACGGACAGGGTGCACAGGCCTGGCCAGGCACTAGGGACGTGGCTAGGGCTGGCGGAGTCCTCCCGCCGTGTCCGCCCCAGCTGGAGATGTGGCGGGGTCCTCCCGGGCAGACCACTCTCCGCCTCCCCTCTGCTGCCAGAGCCCACCCCCCCTCATCACAGGGTCTCCTGCAGGGAGCTCCCCAGACTGCTGCACCCCAACTCTCCAGCCCCCTGTCATGCTACAGCCCTGAGTCTGGTCTCCCCACCAGTGAGTGACCCCCCAGGTCTGCCTGGCCTTCCCCCCACCTTCCCACCTACCTGGCTGAGCCTTCTGCCCCCTCGCCTCCCTCATTTAACAGCTCACAAGCCAGAGACCCCCTGCTCCCATGGCCAGTGCTGGGAACCCTGGGGCCCGAGAGGCCCAGGAGGAGGATGGGGAGAAGGCAGGGGGCTCCTCTGGGCCCCGAGGGCCTGTGCTGGAGCAGGCCCAGGAGCTCTTTCTGCTGTGCGACAAGGAGGCCAAGGGCTTCATCACCCGGCACGACCTGCAGGTGAGTCCCCAGCCCCAAGGGACTGGCCAGGCCCAGAGCTCACCTCCGCTGGCCGCTCATCTCTGCCATTCTCACCTGACCAGGGCCTGCAGAGCGACCTGCCCCTCACACCCGAGCAGCTGGAGGCCGTATTTGAGAGCCTAGACCAGGCCCACACGGGCTTCCTCACTGCCCGCGAGTTCTGCCTTGGCCTGGGTGAGCTCAGAGCCCTGCCCACCCCAGCTGCCCAGGGATCTGCCCAGGGATCCGGAGGCCCTCCCTCGGCGGGCCGGCACCTGTGGCCCTGTGTGTGTGTGGGGCAGCCTGTGCCTCTCCCGCGCCTCCCTGCAGGGCACACGCAGGTGTCTGTGCGCGCAGGTGCCACCGGCAGCCGCCGCTGCCGTGCAGCCTGCGGGGTGGCCTTCCTGCCCCGCACTCCCTCTCCTGAGCCAGTCCCCGCTGGGGCTGGGAGCGTGGCTGTCACCTCTCATTGCCAGGCCAGTAGGACCAGAACAAGGAAGAAAAACAGGAAGCCGGGCCCTGAGACAGGACAGGATATGTGTTGGGGGCCAGCGGGACCCAGCCAGGGTGGTAACTCAGCCTTGGTCACCGCGTCGCTCCTTCCCGCCCGCAGGGAGGTTTGTGGGGGCGGAGTCGGCCCAGGGCGCGACGCCCTCCCGGACTCCTGAAGAAACCTTTGAGTCGGGCTGGTCGGCTGCGCAGGGCCCCTTTGGGGACTCTCTGGAGGAGGAAGAGGAGGAGGAGGAGCGATTCTACGCTGCGCTGGAGCAGCTGGGGGTGGCCCCGGTGCTGGGCGAGTGAGTCGGTGCTGGCCGCGCTGCCCGGTTCCCTCTGGCGCGCTCTCTTGTTCTGCACATTCTGTCCCCGTCGCCCGCGTGCCTGCTCCTGCGCAGGTCCTGGGGCCGGTCGGGCCCAGCGGTTCTGTCAGCTGAGACTGCCAGGGAGGTGCCTGCCGTGATTTCCCGCGGAATTTGCATTTCGGGAGGCGGCAGCTGCGGCCGCGGGGAGGAGGGGCGGCGCGGGGCACGGGGCCGCACACACGCTGGCACGGCCCGTGCACGCACACACCCACCGCGCGGGGCACGCACCGACGCTGGTCAGGGGCGACGGCACTCGCGAGAGGAATGCCCCGCACGCGGCACGCCCGTCGGGCTGTGCGGGGACGCAGGCGCCTCCTGGGGGATTGCCCTTGGCGGAGGGGAGCCCGCCAGCTCCAGCTCAGGCCTCCGCCCCCCCCTCGCCCCAGGCAGCGGGCTGTGAGGACGCTCTGGGTCCGGCTGCAGCGCGAGCGGCCCGAGCTGCTGGGCTCTTTCGAGGACGTTCTGATGCGCGCGACGGCCTGCCTGGAGGAGGCGGCCCGGGAGCGGGACGGCCTGGAGCAGGCGCTGCGGAGGTGAGGGCTGCGGGCCGGGCGGGGCCTGGGGGGCTCTAGAGGCGGCGCTGGGGCTGCAGTGCTGGCGAGTCTTCACCCGCCGTCCGCCCTGTCCCTCGGAGGCGCGAGAGCGAGCACGAGAGGGAGGTGCGCTGCCTGTACGAGGACATAGAGCAGCAGCTCCAAGAGCAGCGGCAGCGCCTGCGGAGTCAGGTGGGCCCAAGCCCCGCCCCTCCGGATAGGGCCCGCCCCTCCGGATAGGGCCCGCCCCTCCGGATAGGCCCCGCCCCCTCCGGATAGGCCCCCGACCCCGGGTGACCGCCCCCAGCCCAGGGGGACAGTGCCGGGCCTCTCGCGTCGCCCCCACCCCGCCCCCGCCCCGCCGGGAGCCTCCTCTGCACGGTCTGCAGCCGGCGGAGGCTCAGGGGCCCGGTGCGTCCCAGAACCTCCCCCGGGAGGAGCGGAGAGGCCGCTTGGAGCTGGAGCTGCAGAGCCGCGAGCAGGAGCTAGAGCGCGCGGGCCTGCGGCAGCGGGAGGTGAGCGGCGGCGCCCCGCCCGAGCCCCGTCCCCGGCGACACCCTCGCGCTCCCGGTGTCCTGGAGGCCCTCCGCGCCTCAGTGTCCCCGCCCCGGGACCGTCGGGAGCCGGGGAGAGGGCCGTTCCTCGCCAGCCTCCCCCGCCCCGCAGTTGGAACAGCAGCTGCAGGCCCGCGCCGCGGAGCAGCTGGAGGCGCAGGCTCAGCACGCGCAGCTGTGGCGGGCCCACGAGGCGCTGCGGGCGCAGCTGGAGGGGGCGCAGGAGCAGCTCCGCAGGCTGGAGGGCGACGCGCGGGGCCGCCGGGAGCAGACTCAACGGTGCGGGGGCGTGTCCCGGGGGCGGGGCCGGGCCCTCCGGCGATCGGACCGCGGACACTTCCATCTCCACCCCAAGTCCCAGCCCCGCCCCCAGAAGCCTGCCTGCGGCTAGTGACCACCTCCTCCCCGCAGAGACGTGGTCACGGTCTCCCGGAACATGCAAAAGGAGAAACTGAGCCTCCTGAGGCAGCTGGAGCTGCTTAGGTGCGTCAGGCCCAGGCGGTGCAAGGGAAGGGGCTCAGCGCAGCTTGGGGGCGCCCAAGCTCCCAACACTCTTGGCCGCTGCCCTGTCCCACGGTGGAGGTCCCTTCTTGTGTCTGCCTTCCATCCCTCATGCTGCGGCCCCAGCCAGACACCTCTCTCTGGCCTGAGGGGAGCCAGGGCCCGCCTTCCGCACCCCAGATTGCTGCCTCTTGAGACCTCGATCTCTCAGGGCCCGCACTCCCTCCCCAGGGAGCTGAACACACGGCTGCGAGACGACAGGGACGCCTGCGAGGCCAAGAGGCTGGGCGGCAGCCGCAGGAAGGCTCTGGCCACCGCGCGCCTGCCTGGGCCCACCTGCTGCTGCTGCTGCTGCTGCTGGGCCCGCCCCGCCAGACGCGGCTCCGGCCACCTTCCAAGTGCCCGGTGATGGGGGACCACGGGTGTCACCTGGAAGCGCCGCTCGAGGGCGACCTGCAGTGGAGCGGGGTTGCCCATCCGGGTGTGGGCTGCACCCGGTGTGACCCGGGCCTTCCGACTGAAGACGGGAGGGACCCAACTTCAGTGGCCGGTGGTCGGTTCTCGTGGCCCCGCTGACCTCCACCCTGCCCCCACCCATCACTCCCTTTCCGTTCAGCGGAAGAACCCGACTCCAACCCCACCACCGCCAAATAAAGTCCCCTGGATGCATCGCGTCGTGCCTGCCTCTCCAAGTCTGGGCTACGGTCTGTGGCACACGGGTGACGCGTGGCAGGCGCTCGCCTGACACAGGCCCTGCTGGGCCGGGGCAGTCCCGGGTCAGGACCGAACTCCCACTTCACACAACTGGGGGATCCGGAGCCACCGGTGGTCTCGAGGCTGCGGGTCCCCGAAGCCTCGACCCTGTTCGCCCCTCGCTCCGCACCGCTGCCGGCGCCCGCGCGGGTCCGCAGGCCGCGCCAGAGAAGCCCCGTCCTCATCCGCCGCGCCGCCCTCCGGCGGGCCCTGCGGAGAGGGAAGGTGGCGGGGCAGCCCTGGAGGGACCCACTGCGCGCTGGCGGCGCGGGGCTGTGGCGCGCACTGCCCGCGGTCCCAGGTCTAGGCCCGCCTGCGCCGGCGGGGCGGGGCCATGGGAGGGGCGGTGCGGCATGGGCGGGCTCGGTGTGGGCGGGGCCTGCGGGCCGGGGCGGGGCCGCGCGTCCCCTCGCAGGTCCTGGCGGTGCGTTCTCTGCGCGCCGAGCCACCGCCCCCGCAGCTGCAGCCGCAGCCGCAGCCGCCCCCGCCCGGACTCCGACGCGTGGTGGGTGAGTGCGCCGCCAGGGCGGCCAGGCCGAAGGGACCGAGCGCCCCGAAGGCCCTGCGCGCCCCGGTCGCAGGCGCCGGGAGGGCACGAGAGGCCGCTGCCGCCGACCCGGCCCAGCCCCCTCGCCGCCCCTTCCGGGAGGGAGACGAGCGCCTGGCCGGCGCCGGGTGGGGGCCGCGAGGGAGAGGCGCCTCCCGAGTCCTCGGACAGGCCTGACGGCCCCCTTAGATCCAGGGGACCCCCCTGCGCAGGCTGGACGCCCCACTCATTGTCCCTGGACGCCAGCCCCCTCCCTCCGCCTGCAGGCCCGCCAGTGCCCGGGTGCGAGTGGGCGGGGGCGGCGGTGACTTCATCGCGGTAACCCGGGATTCCTCGCCGCGCCTGGCAAAAGCAGAGTCCCGGTTTGGGGCGCGGGCCACCCAGGGCCCTGGTGCGGGTCCAGGGGACGGGGGGTGGGGCCGCAGGAGCTATTTCTGGCCGGGCCAGGCTCCCACGCCGGCCCTTTCCCAGGGGGTTCACGTCCACCAGGCATTCCTGGGAAGAGGGGCGGCCACTCTGCGGGTCGCCTGTGTCCCGGCTGTGGGGGCTGGATCTGTGCTCAGAACCAGCAGCCCCGGAGGCCTGGGACATCAGAGCCGGCCGGCACATCTGAGTGGGCGGCGCTTACGCGTCCCTCTGGCTCCGTGGCAGGGGTCTGCCGGTGTTCCCCTCCGGATGGGAGTGTTCAGGCCCCAGCTGAGTCATGGAGGGCACCGGTCCCGCCCAGCTCAGGGGCCGGAGTCTGGGCCCCAGACACCCTGCTCAGGGGCCCAGCTCCCTGCCTGGTTTCACAGCAGCTGCTGTTGGGAGCTGGGGGCCTGAGGCCAAGGGTGGGACACCTGGGGAAGGCCTGAGGTCCCTCCCAGGATCAGACTGTCCAGAATGTCCTCTGCCCTGCCCCACCCTGAGCCAGACCAAAACACTGGGCCTGGCCGCTCCTCTCGCTGCCTCTGGAGTAAACCCTGCCTGCTCTGGAAGTGGCTCTGGCCCACAGGCCAGACTGGTGACCTGTGACCTGTCCTTGCTCCTCTAGCCAACTGTCCTGGGAACGTCTGTCTACCTGTCCTACAGGAGCCGGGCCCAGCCAGCCTGGTGAGTGCTGGGTGAGTGCTGGGTGGGGCGGTGAAAGTCCAGCCCCGTGGCACAGCGTCTGGGAACGTGGCCTGGGGCTCTCAGCTGCTGTCTGAGCTCCTCCTCCCCCGCCCAGACGCGGGGTGTACCTGGGGGCCTCTGGCTGCTGTGGCTCCCGCCTTTCCGGGAAGAACCTCCCCCCTGGGTCTGGAGGAGCTCGGGTCTGCCAGGCTCCACCTGCCAGAGCCTCCATTCTTCTCTGCCTGGCAGGAAGGGCTGCCCTTTAACAGACAGGAAGCAGGCAGCCCCGGAGAGCCTGAGTAAGGGCTGGGCTGGGGCCTGTCCGAGCTCCCCGCCCCTCTGCTGCCTCTGGGGGACGTGTCTCTGAGTGGCCCCCTCCCCCTCCCCCTCTGCAGGCCTGTAGGGTCCTGCCTGCCCAATGTGGGGCCCAGGGAACGCTGCAGGGCGGGCGGGGCCCAGTGAGCTCACCCCAAGGTGTCCACTGCAGCCTCCTCCCCTGGCTGCCAGCAGGGGTGAGTCAGCTGGTGACGGCTGGGGGTCCTCCATGACCCTTTCCTGTCTGTGGACACCAGGGGTCCGCCCTGGCTGCTGGAGGTCAGGGCTCCTGCGCAGGCCATCCTAGGAAGTGACTCCTGCCCTGGCTTCTCCCGGGACAAGTGGTCGGCTCAGCCCCCAGCCCCAGGCCGGCCTGGGCATCTCTGTGTCCCCCCCCCTGTCCCCACTGGTGTCTAGGTCTAGCTGTCCTCCCAGTCAGGGGCCTGCTGCTGTGGGCTGTCTGACTCCCCAGCCCCAGGATGGGCGAGTTCAGCGAGAAGAAGGAAACATGCGGCACCGTCTGCCTCAAGTACCTGCTCTTCACCTACAACTGCTGCTTCTGGGTGAGAAGGGGACGCCCTGCCCACGGGCCCCTCCCGTCCCCGGGCCAGACGTGGTGACTGGCGTGCTCTGCTTGCAGCTGGCAGGCCTGGCCGTCATGGCGGTGGGCATCTGGACGCTGGCTTTCAAGAGTGACTACATCAGCCTGTTGGCCTCCAGCACCTACCTGGCCACAGCCTACATCCTGGTGGTGGCTGGCGTCGTCGTCATGGTGACCGGTGTCCTGGGCTGCTGCGCCACCTTCAAGGAGCGGCGGAACCTGCTGCGCCTGGTCAGAGGCTGTGGCGGCCCTGGGTGGGGGGTAACGGACCGGGTGCCTGGGCAGGGGCCCCTCACTAGCTGCCTGGGCTGATCCGGGGCCCTGGTGGGGTTGAGGGTCCCCTGCGGGCTGTGGACACATGCCTCGCTGTGTGCACCAGGGGGCCAGGTCCTCCCCCGCCTGCCCAGTCCTGTGAGTCCCCACATCCCAGCTGCGCCAGCCGAGGGGAGACACCTGCTCTGTGAGAAAGTATCAGGGAGTGTGGCGGCTCCCAGCCCCCACCTGCTGCCTGGAGCCCTCAGGGGCGGCCACTTGGGAGCTGGGGCCGGGGCTGTGCCCCGAAGTGCCTGGGCATGGGGAGTCCTCAAACAGACTGTCTCTGCTCCCCAGTACTTCATGCTGCTCCTGCTCATCTTCCTCCTGGAGATCGTTGCAGGGGTCCTGGCCTACGTGTACTACCAGCAGGTGAGGGGCCACCCACCTGTACACCCTGCACCCCACCCCCACTGTTCCAGAGCCGCCCATGGGGCCTGCAGGGCCAGATGACCTGCCTGCAGCAGCCAAGCCGCCATGGGACCCAGGGAGGGCACAGGTGTCTGTGTGGAGGGGTCTGCAGGCCTCTCCCCACAGTCACCCTGGTGACACTCCTGGTCCCACTCAACCCCCTCGAGCTGCTCTCTGACCCCAGCCCTTCCCCTCTTCGCCCTCCCTGGGCTGCTCCCCCACAATCCTGGAGCTTCCCCGTCCCACCTTGGAGGGCTTCAGACTTTGAGGCTGAGGTTCCCCGCACCCCCCCAGCTGAACACGGAGCTCAAGGAGAACCTGAAGGACACCATGACCAAGCGGTACCAGCAGCCAGGCCATGAGGGCGTGACAAATGCCGTGGACAAGCTGCAGCAAGAGGTGAGTGGGTGGCGCCTGGAGGGGCAGGTGCCGCCAGGGCCCCCCCACGGCTCAGCGGAGCGCAGTGTGTGTGGGGGGAGGCCTCAGGGCTCACCCGCCACCCCTGCCGCCAGTTCCACTGCTGTGGCAGCAACAACTCCAAGGACTGGCGCGACAGCGAGTGGATCCACTCGGGGGAGGCAGGTGGCCGGGTGGTCCCTGACAGCTGCTGCAAGACCGTGGTGGCTGGCTGCGGGCAGCGGGACCACGCCTCCAACATCTACAAGGTGGAGGTAGGTGGGCACCCCAGGGAGGGGCTGGGCTGGCTGGGGCCTGTGCCTGGGTGCTCGGCGTGGGCGTGGCCACACCCCAGATGGCTGAGACCAGGGGGGCCAGGTGCTGCCACGTACATGGGAGGAGGCACCTGGGCCCCCTTCAGTACCCCACCCCAAACCCCACTAGGGCGGCTGCATCACCAAGCTGGAGACCTTCGTCCAGGAGCACCTGAGGGTCATTGGAGCTGTGGGCACTGGCGTGGCCTGCGTGCAGGTGCGGGCTCGTGGGGGGCCTCTGAGGCGACAGGGGGCCGGGGGCCCCACGGTGCCTGCTCACCCTGTGCCCGGCTTCTCACGCAGGTCTTTGGCATGGTCTTCACGTGCTGCCTGTACCGGAGCCTGAAGCTGGAGCACTACTGACCTGCCTGGGGCTCGGCCCCAAGGCTCCCCACGTCCTGCTGTGGCTTCGTACCCAACTACTGAGCTCCGGGTGGCTGGGGTCCTAGGATCCCACCCACCCCTGTGCCATCACTCTGACCTCTGGGGACCCCAACCCCAGAGGCGGCTGCAAGTGCCTTTCTCTGCACTCCAAAGTCCTGAGGCCTGAAGAAGGGGGAAGGGGTGGCCGTCCTGTCTGTTGGGGCCCAGGGGGGGTGGGTTTTGACAGTGAAGCACCCTGTCCCACAGGCCACTTCTTTTGGGGTGGCCTCTTGGGGTCTTAGGGGCACTCCATGCCTGGTTCAGCCCAGGGGAGTGGCTTGAGGCGGGCTCCCCGGACACACTCCCTGCCTGGTGGTCAGAGGCAGCTCGGAAGGGCCTTGCAGGGTGGGTGCTGGGCAGGGCCAGGCCCTCTGTGCCACTGGCCACACTCGCACAGGCCCTTCAGCTGCTGGTGCCTCTTCCTGGAGCTACGTGGCCCCCCCGGGCACTCGGGGGAAGCTGAGTGCTCCCCGACCCTTGGGCCTGTGCCTCCCCCGTCCCCACACGCTCAGCCACACCCCTAACAGCCAGAGCCCCTGCTTTTTCCCGTTGCTGTCACTACCCTGTAAAATGCCACGTGTTCATTTGTGGATTGCCACGTCCCCGAGTGGGGCAGGTGTTACTGGTTTGTTCACTACTGTACCCTAGGTGCCTAGAACTGCCTCTGCCACACGACAGTGCTCAATAAAGCTGTCGTGGCGTGGACGGGCGCCTGCTGTGTTGCTGACACGTTTTGTCCTTGGGGCACTCATGGCCAGCAGGGTGGGAGCCAGGGGGCATGTCCCAGGGTCCAGTGTGAGCTGCAGGGAGGGGAGGCCCCATGGCAGGGGCAGCACAAAGGTGGTGGTGTGGTCACAGCCCCCAGGACAGGAAGAGTGGCCTTGGACCTGCCAAGAGACAGCACAGAGTTGGGGCTGCATGGAGGCCCCAGGGCTGGTGTCCAGCAGGATGTGGGGTGGAGATGGGAGCCAGGGCTCAGCCACCATCATCCCCCCAGAGAACCTTATATCCGGGCAGCCGATGGCCAGCACCGAAGGTGCCCTGAGAGGAGCTGCTCCCCAACTCCCAACTGGTGGCCTCCTGCCTCTGCCAGCTGGAGGACCCCCTCCCCCCCCACCACCTTGGGTGACAACTCCCACCTCTCTACGGCTAAGCCCGAGTTGGAACAGGACAGTAGGGCCCTGGAAGCCCGGCTATGGGGGTCTCGGGGCTGGCTGTGGAAGCTGGACACTGTCCAGGCTCTCCGCAGGAATCCTGCCAGGGGCAGGGCCTGGCAGGGCTCTGGGAACAGGACCTCAGGAGTGGCAGCAGGTGGGCAGGAAGCCCGCAGGCATGGGCAGCCGTGGGCATGGGCAGCCGTGGCTGCTCAGGCCCCAGATCTGGTTTGTTAGAGTCTAAGACGTGGTAGCCTCTGTTCAGCCTGAAGAGCACCAGTGTAGCAGGGTGGGGATGCAAGGGACACCCCCAATAACCCTAACCCTCAAACGCGCCCGGCTGTCTGTGCCTTGCTTGGGCCAGAGTGAGCATGCTGCAAAGGGAGACGACCCCCCCCCAGGGCTGGCGCAGATGGTGCTGCCTCCTCTGGGGAGCGTCCAGCCCCCCAGTGCCCACCCGACGGCCGGCCTGAGGAGCAGGTGTGGAGAGGCTGAGGGTGGGAGGCACTCGGCAATGCTGCCCACAGCGGGACCTTGGAACGGACTAGCCCCAGAGCCCGGAGGGGCCAGGACTGGCCAGCCGGTGTTCTGCCTACTGCCGCAGGCTCTGTGACAACGCCAGGGCTGGGACCAGGGAAGCAGAAACAAAAGCCCCCAGGACAGGCCAGGCAGGACCAGCCTTGGGGAGGGAGCAGCCAGGTGGCAGAGGAACGTGGACACAGGGAGCCCCACAAAGCCAGGCCAACCAGCAGGACCTCTCGGTGGTTCTGAAAGACCTTTACTGGGCACTCCTTCCAGAGTGGGGGGTACACGCCCCCGTGCTGTGGTCAGGCATTGCTCCCAGCTCCCGACACCTCGCTTTAATGAGCTCTGGGCAGGACACTGACTGCCGCTGTCAGCGCAGCAGGCGGGGTGGGGGGAGCGGGGCAGGGGCTCCGGCCGGTCACTTCTCCAGGGGCGCGTAGTTGAGCAGCTTCTCGATCAGGTCCACGTGGGCCAGCAGCATGCGGCGGCAGCAGTAGCGCTTCAGGCCCAGGGCGTCCAGGGCGTCCCTGCATCAGGGGTGGGACAGTGAGAACAGCTGTGGCGTCAGCTCTGCGCGGGCCTGGAGCCCAGGTCCCGGCCACCTCTGCCACTCCTGCCTGCTCACCGCAGGGTGGACAGATCCACCGGGACCTGGGACTAAGGCCCAACGCACGGTCCCAGGTGGAGTAACCTGGAAACACCGAAAAGGGTACCCAGACACCTGGGGTTGAGCCTGGTGACCCTCCACTCTGGCCATATTTGTGTGTCATCAGAGGGAACTTAGAAGCCAGGGCCACCAAGCTGCCAATTCCCTGAGCCCCTCATTCAGCGCAGGCCACCCATGGGCGGCTCTCCAAGGGCCATGCCTCAGTTCCCCTTGGCACCTGACAAAGTACACCAGTGTGCTTCACCCTGGCAGTCACTGTGCCCTGGCCAGAGCCAGCCCCGCTCAGCTGCTACAGGCTCTCCCCTTACCTCTGCTCCCCCAAATCATGGCAAGAGACTGTCTTTCCAGCGAGCCATCGCTCCCAAGTCCCAAGTCCGTCGGAAGCCTCCATTTCCCTGGGACCTGGTCCCAGTCGCCCTGAAGGCCTTCAGAACTTTCCCATACCGATGGTTCCAGTGTGGAGACGGCAGCTTGGGAAAGGGAAGGCCAGACGGGGGCCCCCTGCCCATGCGTCCCTGGGAGAGGGGCCGGGACCGGCTGCCAGCCTCACTCCTAACCTGGCCATTCCTGCAGCCTGCCCAGCCCACTATTTGCTTCCCTTACTCCTGTGACACACTCACAGAGAAAGCCTATGAGCCTATGGTTCACTGCTGGCACACGACAGCCCCAGGGCTTCAAATGTGACCAAGACAGGCCGGGCGTGGTGGCTCACGCCTGTAATCCTAGCACTCTGGGAGGCTGAGGTGGGAGGGTCGTTTGAGCTCAGGAGTTCGAGACCAGCTTGAGCAAGAGCAAGACCCCGTCTCTACTAAAAAAAATAGAAAGAAATTAGCCAGACAACTAAAAATATATAGAGAAAAAAATGAGCCGGGTACAGTGGCGCATGCCTGTAGTCCCAGCTACTCAGGAGGCTGAGGCAGAAGGATCGCTAGGCTGACGCCACAGCACTCCCTCTAGCTTGGGCAATAAAGTGAGACTGTCTCAAAAAAAGAAAAAAAAGAGACCAAGACACACAGCTGGCCAGGCATGGTAGCTCATGCCCGTAATCTTAGCACTCTGGGAGGCCAAGGTGGGCAGATCATTTGAGCTCAGAAATTCGAGACCAGCCTGAGCAAGAGTGGGACCCCATATCTACTAAAAAGTAGTAACAACAGAACGAAATTAGCTAGACAACTAAAAATACATATAAAAAAATTAGCCGGGCATACTGGCGAATGCCTGTAGTCCCAGCTACTCGGGAGGCTGAGGCAGGAGGATCGCCTGAGCCCAGGAGTTGGAGGTTGCTGCGAGCTACGCTGATGCCACGGCACTCTAGCCCGGGCAACAGAGATTCTGTCTCAAAAAACAAAAAACCCGACACAGCCTTCCACAGTGGGGGCAGAGGCTCAGACAGGCACGGTGGTTAACTGGAGTACTCAAGGACAAGAACAGGAAAAGCCCGATGATGACGGTCGGGAAGTTTGTCCTGCATCTTAAAACGACCAGCCTAAGTTTGCAGGACACAGGGATAGGCCCTGGAGCAGGGATAGCAAGTTAGGGAGCGAGTGAACAGGGAGGAGGCTGAGGGCTATACTGTGGGTCACGTGGCGCCTGTAACCCGACAGGACACCTATAAGGCCCCAAGACACCAGTAGTTTGATGCCCACTCCGCTCATCTCCCTAAACTTTGGGGGACAATGCTCTCCTGAATAGGTCGGATCTTGGGAGGAGGAGACCTCAGGCCTGAAAATCCTGACATGAGTGCCCCAGCCCCCCAGGCCGGGACCATCCCCAAGACCCCTGCCCGCCGGGTATGCTGGGACCTCCCCCATCCCCAGGACCCCGGCCCACCCCACAGGCTGGGACCCCCACCCCACGACCCCGGCCCTACTGGCAGGCTGGGACCCCCCATCCCCACGACCCCCAGGCCCGGAGCCCCCCTCCCCACGACCCCAGCCTGTGCCGTGGCCTGCCCCGCACCCCGGGACCCCCCACCCCACGACCCCGGCCCTACTGGCAGGCTGGGACCCCCCATCCCCACGACCCCAGGCCCGGAGCCCCCCTCCCCACGACCCCAGCCGTGCCGTGGCCTGCCCGCACCCCGGGACCCCCCACCTGACGACCCCCGCCCGCCCCGCAGGCCGGGACCCCCACCTCACGACCCCGGCCCGCGCCGTGGCTCGCCCCGCACCCCAGGACCCCCACCTCATGACCCCTGCCCGCCCCGCACCGGACTACCTCATGACCCCGCCCGCCCCGCACCCCGGGACTCCCCACCTCACGACCCCCGCCCGCCCCGCAGGCCGGGTCTCCCCGCCGCGGCCGGAGCCTCACCCCTCGGTGTACTCGGCCTGCAGCAGCCCCAGGTAGGCCTCCCACTTGTTGCCGACGATCTTGCCGCAGGTGAAGCAGCGCACGGGGATGATCATGGCGGCAGCGCGGCGGTCTGTCTCCGCACTGCGAGCCCGGCGCAGCGGCGCTGCAGGCCCCGCCCGGGCGCGTCCACCGGCGCGGGGGCCCGGTTCTGCCCGGCCCGGCCCGGCTCGGCCCGTCCCCGCCGGCCTCGGCGCCGCGGACGTTCCAGCCCCGCCGCGACCGGCCTGCTTCGCGCGGCCGGCTCCCGGGGCCCACGCGCCGCGGGAGGAACAGACGGCGCCCCCCGCTCGCCGCTTTGGTACGACCCGGCGCGACGGCGTCCGAGCGGGGCCGCAAGAGTGCGGCGGCGGCGGTTCGCGATTCTCGTGTCCGCTTGACTGACAGCTGCGCGGCGGGAGCGCTCGGTGGAGCGGACGGCGCGGGCTGCGGGCGGCGCGCAGGTAGGTGCCGCGCTGGGGGGCGGCCGGGGTCCTGCGGCGCCCCCGCCCGAGCCCGGCACGGCCGCACCAGGACGCTAGCTGGGGCGCGCGAGTTCGAGCCCCGAGACAAGACGCAGCAACAAGTGGGGGGGCCGGGCGGGGGGCGCGGCGATGCCCGCGGGGCCGGGACGGAGGGGCTGTAGGAAGTCCGGCGGCCGCGTGGGGGGACTTCCCGCCGCCCCTGCTGGCCCTGCAGGGAACGCGATGTCTCCGCCTGGAGCCCCCTACCGCGGGGTGCCGGGGGCTCTGCCGCCGAGTTTGGGGCGTTTCATGCTTGCCGCGGCCGGTACCCTCGGGGCGCCGCCTCGGCCCCCGCCGCGCTCGGGCCGCGCAGAAACGGCCCCCGCCGTGTACTTACCTGTAGCCCCGACGGCAGGGACGGATGGGGGCGGCGGCTGCTCCCCCTGCACCGCCTCGCTGCGCCCCTGTCCGCGATCTTCCGGCTCCTTCCGGGAAGGGGAGGGGGGTCTGCGCCATCCCGGCCCCATGATCTGGGCATGGGCGCGCAGACGCACCTCTGAGCACGGGGAGAGGGCCGGGTGAGGGAGGTCCGGGAGGGCGTGATCTTGGCAAAGGGCACCCTTGGGCACAGTCCTGGGAGCTGTGCCTGCAAGGCCAGCTGACCCTGGAGGTGATGGGGTCTCCAGGGGCTTCAGGGACGGGGTGGTTGTGTCCCTGGGATGGGGTGTGGGGAGCCTGGCACCGGCGCTCTTCTGGCTGTGCTGGTGGGCGCCCCTGGAGACGGGAGAGGTGGGGTGAGTGCAGGGAGAGGCAGGGAAGGCTCCTTGGAGGAGGTGAGCTGTGGGGGCTGGTGTGTTGCACAGTGGTACCTGTGGGGGCTCAGGGCAGGTTGGGGCTGTGGGCCATCTGGTGGGAGTGGGCCTGTCGTGTCCCGGGCATCAGCTTAACTGCTCTCTCAGGGCAAATGCTGGACTTTTGCCCTAGTTGCAGGGGAGGGGGATGAAGGGTCTCATGGGGCTGGCCAGAGCCACTGTCCACCTGGGGTTTGTGGCCCCACCCTGGCCTGGACCCTGTACAGCTTCCTCATGGGGATTAGCCGTACCCCACCCAGCCACGTGCAGAGCCACGAGACACCAGGCCACTTCCCTTCCCTGCCCCCTCCCCTCATGCTGAGTGGACGCACATCCTGCCCTGGCCTGGCCAGTGGCCTGGGGTCAGACCTGGCTTGGCTGCCCAGGCTGCTGGTGGCTGTGGAGGTGAGGGGGCGGGGTATGGGATCCAGGATGTCAGGAGGGTGGGCCCTCGGGAGCGGGTGGGGGCTGAAGGCTTCCTGGAAGAGGGACCCTGGGCCTGTCCCCCCCTGTTCCTGCCAGGAGGAGTTGTTTACTCTGGGAGACTTGGGGCAGGGAGCCTCCCTCCCAAAACCTGGCTGAGCCAAGTTGACATTCCTGGAATTCCGAGCCGAGCTGTGTGTGCTCCCTGATTTCCCTGAGGGTCCTGGGAACTTGAGGCTGCCCCTGTGGACCGCTACTCCCCTCCTCCGCCAGCATGTCCACAGAGCCCCCCACGTGAGCACCGAGGCCCCCGGGCTCCTCCCTGGCTCTGCTGTGACTCAGGCCTGTCCTTTGCTCCGACCAGGCTAGACCCCAGGACCCTGGGCAGCCTCAGAGGTCAGCCCTGCCTCAGCCCTGGGTGGCCCGTGCTCCCTGCAAGTGTGTTTGATGAGCAGGGGTAGGTGGGTGTGCAGTGTCTGCAAGGCCTGGCCCAGCCTCTGCAAGCGTCGGTAGGGTGGGGTCTCACAAGAATGGGGCATCCAGCCCCCTATGGTTGGGGTCGAGGGGCACAAAGAGAGGGAGGGTTTTCTTACATGTGGTTTGGAACCCGCTTGAAGGGGTCACTTCAGGGAAGGGGACATGGGAAACTCGTGACTGAAGTTTCAGCTGCCCAGCCCCTCCCACCCTGGGCGTTGCCATGGAAATAGGCCAGCCGTGGGGGAGGGGAGGGCACTGGGCTGGGATTGGGCAGAACTTGCACCGTGGTCTTGGATCACAGCCTCAGTTTCCCTATCTTAAACCTCTGGTGGGACCAGAAGCCGCCCACCAGGAGGGTCTGCAACCTCAGTGAGGTTAGATGTGACCTTCGGCTAGGGGGTGTGGTGACAGCCCCTCTCCCCAGCCTCCCCTCATGCCTGTGCCTCTGGCTGGGCAGGGGCAGACGTGTGTTCACTCTGAGGATCGCATGCCACGGGGGGCCGTGGACATGTGTGCCGGACACCGCTGTGGTGCGCACACACCCTGCTGTACCCCGGATAACACTCGCTCAGCACTGTCCCAGTGGCCCTCCAGACCTGGCAGTGTGGGCAGTGGTGTTTGCAGCTGTGGTTGAGGCTGACCTGGCCCCAACCTAGTGACCCACACCTCTGGTGGCATTTGGGAACGTCACCATCTGCCATCCCTTTGCCTGGGCTGCCATGCCCCTGAGACTGTTCAGTAGGGTCCAGGTGACATGGGTCAGGGCCAGGGGTGCGGTGGGATGGACAACTGAGGCTGGGCTGCTCCTGGAACCGGGGGTGGGGTGGGGTGGAAGGGCCCCTCCCAAGGTCTGACTTGTGTCCCCTGCACCCCCACAACCCTCACGGAGAAAGACCTGAGGGTGCTGGGGAGGGACAGGGAGGGACATCTGCTTCAGTCGGGGCTGGCCTTCATTGGCCCAAGAGGAGAGGTGGGAGGGGCGTCTCTCCCTTCCCTGGAGTGGGAGGGGGCTGGACGGGTGGCTCCAGCCTCCAGAGGCTCAGGCTTGGGTGGGAGGGGCAGTCCCCCGCCCAGGGGCAGGGGGGTGCCGGCTGCCTGGGGCCTGGGTGTCTGCCACGCCCCTCTCCTAGAGTGAGCGGGGGAGGGCCTGTTTGTGTTGGCGGCCTCCCTGCCTCCTCAGATCCGCCTCCCAGCCTGGGGCCTGGGGGACCGTGGTGGGCGGTCTCCAAGCCTCTCTCCACCCCGGCTGCCCCTGCCTGCCTCGCAACAGGCTGCGATGGCAGCCACTAGCCGCCCTGGGCAAGCTGTCGCAGCGTCTGGGGAGGTCCCTTTTTGAGTGGGACCTTGGTCCAGCCAGGTGGGTGTCCGTGGCCTCCTTGCGGCTCACACTCCCCCAGCAGCCCAAGTGTCTTGGAGCCAGGGTGGGGTACGGAACCTCTGGGTCCCCTCCTGGCCTGGGGGGCTGCCAGAGGGCCACTTGCCCCACCACCCCAGGCTTGGTCTGGGAGGCCAGGCAGTTGGGAGACCTTGGGGGTTGAGCTGGTAGGGCGCCCTTCGGCCCCCAGTTGAGCTCCCCCACCAGGTGAGCTCACCCCGCCCCTCCCCACCGCAGTTCCTGGGTGGTGAGACAGGACAGATGGGTGGTGGGCCTTGTGGATCAGCACCGATGGCTCCCTAGGGAGGGCCATCTTCCTGAGCTTGGGCGGAAGAGAGGGGTGAGGCGGGCTGCAGGGCGCCCTGTGGGAAGTGGACACACAGGCTGGGCTCAGGGGCTGGGGCGCCTGGGGGAGACACCACTGCGTGTCTCGGTGTGCCACATGTCTGCATGTGTCTGTGCGTCTCTGCGTGTCCCTGGGCTGTGGGTACACATCTCCGAACATAGGTGCTCTCCGCCCCTGCTGCCCTTCTGCCCTGTAGGGGGTTCCCTGTGGGACCCAGTGGGGGTTCCCTGTCCCCTGGGCACCAGCCCCCACACCTGTCCCTGTGCAGCTGTGCGGCTGAAGGTGGAAGCCAGGGCTTCTGTCCTTCCCTCCACAGAGCTCGGGCCTGCCTTGGCCACGTTGACCACTCGTCCAGCCCCTGGCCAGCCTGCAGGGGCACCGAACACCACGTGGCCTCCTTCCTGTGGCAAGCCCAGGTATGTCATGGCCTGGTTGGGTGGTGTGGTGGGGACGGCACTGGGGCTGCCTCTGGGTCCCACCTGTGCCCGGCCCAGGGGCCGTGCCAACTGGACGCTGAGCATGTCTCGTTGGGGCCCCAGCTGGGGGAGCACTGGGACTCCTGTGGGCAAGGGGCTGGACTCTGGGGCCACAGGGTTGGGGAAAGACCTTCCCCCTGCCGAGCTCTGCCAGCCTGGCCTTGCCTGGCCCCTCGGTGGGTCTGGACAGCCTGGTGTGAATTCTGGACTTGCCAAGTCCAGACTCAAAGCGAGCCCAGTGCTCACCCTGACCGGCCCCGTTCCCTTGGATGAGTTTTCTGGTTCATCCCAGGTAGGCTCACCATCTGCTCGTGGGGTGATGTGTGCAGGCTTTGTAGGCAGGAGGGGTGCAGGGGTTTGGGGGACACAGACTGCATCTGGGCGCTGGGCTCAGGGCAGGAACCCAGACCTGCCTTGAGACCCATGAGCACCTCCGGGGGAGCCCTGGGCTGCCCCTGCCCCTCCCGGCCTCACCTGCCTGGGATGCGGGAGAGATGAGGCTCAGGATGCATGGCTACCCCGGGCAGCATGACCCCTCTGCTCCTGCCCTGGGAGCCCCCACCTAGGGGAGCCTCCTCCAGCCCCGGCCCAGCAGGTCTGCTCCCCAGCCCAGCGTGTCTGCAGGGAGGGCAGGGACGACACAGTGGCTGGCAGGCTTACTTAGGCACCACTGGAGGCCCACTTCCTGCGGGGAGTCTGCCTGACCTCTGACCTCTGACCCCACCAATGGGGTGAGGTGGCAGGGTGCTGTTTTTGTTTTGTTTTATTTTATTTTATTTTTTATTTTTGAGACAGAGTCTCGCTTTGTTGCCCAGGCTAGAGTGAGTGCCGTGGCATCAGCCTAGTTCACAGCAACCTCAGACTCCTGGGCTCAAGCAATCCTGCTGCCTCAGCCTCCCGAGTAGCTGGGACTGCAGGCATGCACCACCATGCCCTGCTAATTTTTCTTTTTTTTTTTTTTTTTTTTTTTTTTTTTTGAGACAGAGTCTCACTTTCTTGCCCAGGCTAGAGTGAGTGCCGTGGCGTCAGCCTGGCTCACAGCAACCTCAATCTCCTGGGCTCAGCGATCCTACTGCCTCAGCCTCCCTAGTAGCTGGGACTACAGGCATGCACCACCATGCCCGGCTAATTTTTTTTGTATATATATATTTTTAGTTAGTCAATTAATTTCTTTCTATATTTTGGTAGAGACGGGGTCTTGCTCAGGCTGGTTTTGAACTCCTGACCTCGAGCAATCCGCCCGCCTCGGCCTCCCAGAGTGCTAGGATTACAGGCGTGAGCCACCGCGCCCGGCCAATTTTTCTTTTTATATATATATTTTCAGTTGGCCAATTAATTTCTTTCTATTTATAGTAGAGACAGGGTCTCGCTCTTGCTCAGGCTGGTTTCGAACTCCTGACCTCGAGCAATCCACCCGCCTCAGCCTCCTAGAGTGCTAGGATTACAGGCGTGAGCCACCGCGTCCGGCCAGGGTGCTGTTTTTGGTTCCAAGTCTGGCCTCTCTGGGGGAGGGCAGGGTGGGGCTTCTGCCATCAGCCCTGGTCCTCCCTGGGCCCCTGTGGCTCCTCCCCTGCCTGTGTCCAGAGTGCCTGCTCCCTGCTCGCCCTCTCCTGTGTGTGCCTGAGGGTCTGCCCTCTGCTTCGGCATGCCAGGCAGCTGAGTCAGCCCAAGGGCTTATTGGGGAGGGGTGCCAAAAGTTTCCCAGGGCCGTTGGCACCACAGGCTGTCTTGGCAGAGCTGTGGGGTGGTCTCTGTTGGGGCCTGGGTGGGGGCTCTCTGCTTCTCCTCTGGGCCCCTGGTGTGCAGAAACTGTTTTGACCCTTTCCTGGGGCCCAGACCCGCCAAAGAGCCCTCAGGGAAAGGACAAGGTAGGGTGCCCTGGGAAATCTCAGGCTGGCCTCGAGTAGCAGGGGGTCTCCCATGCTTCCTGCACTGGGGGGCTCCCACAGGTTGCACCCCCGCCCAGCGAGGGCCGTGGCTGCAGTTCTCCTCATCGCCACTAGGGGAGGCAGAGGGCCACCACCCTGAGCCCGGGTCTCAGGCCCAGGACCTGCCAGCTCTGGGCGCTCAGCCTGGCCCTAGGGAGGGCCCGGCCCCCAGCGGGGGACAGCCTGCCGGTGGCACCCCGCCCCTTCCTGCCCTCCTCCGGCCCTTCCTCATCCCTCCCCTTCTTGTCCCTCCACCTCCCCCTTCCGCTCCCCTCCATTACCCCTCCTCTTCTTCTGGACTTCAGTTCCTGGGACTATCCCATGTGTGGACATGTCCACTTGATGGCTCTAGTGACCAGGGAGGTTTTGCCACAGCCTCGAGCACAGGGTGCAGGGCATGTCTGTGCCTGCCAAGGCCCTTCTCTCCAGGCCTGGGGCTCCCCTCTACCTCTAGGCTGCAGACCGAGTGGGGGGATCTGGACCACCTGCTGCTGCCCCCTACACTGGGGGCACTTATACCCTGAGCCCTTTGGTAGGGCTGGAGTTTCAGAGATATGGGGTGGGCTATGGGGGCCACTGACAGGCATCTGTCCCCTGGCTTTTTTTGTTTTTTTTTTTTTAAAGACAGAGTCTCACTTTGTTGCCCAGGATAGAGTGAGTGCCGTGGCATCAGCCTAGCTCACAGGAACCTTAATCTCCTGGGCTCAAGCAATCCTCCTGCTTCAGCCTCCTGAGTAGCTGGGACTACAGGCATGCGCCACCATGCCCAGCTAATTTTTTTTTCTATATATATTAGTTGGCCAATTAATTTCTTTCTATTTATAGTAGAGACGGGGTCTGGCTCTTGCTCAGGCTGGTTTTGAACTCCCGACCTCGAGCAATCCGCCTGCCTCGGCCTCCCAGAGTGCTAGGATTACAGGCATGAGCCACCGCACCTGGCCTGTCCCCTGGCTTTGGTTGTGGCCATCTTGTGCACACCCAGGGTGATGGGCTAGTGTGTCTGCTAGTGTCTGTGTGCACATGCCTGAGTGCACGGTGCATCGCTGTGTTTGTGTGTCTTTGGGATGGAGGTGAGGTCTCTCAAAGGTTGACTTCCAGTGTGGGCTGGACCACAATGAAACTCTAGGCCTCTCCTTTAAGAATTACCAATAATTCCGGCCGGGTGCGGTGGCTCACGCCAGTAATCCTGGCACTCTTGGAGGCCGAGGCGGGAGGATCGCTTGAGCTCAGGAGTTTGAGACCATCCTGAGCAAGAGTGACACCTCATCTCTAAAAAATATAGAAAAACTAGACGGGCATAGCGTGCACCTGTAGCCCCATCTACTCAGGAGGCTGAGGCAGGGGAATTGATGGAGCCCAGGAGTTGGTGGCTGCAGTGAGCTATCATCACGCCACTACACTCTAGCCTGGGTGACAGAGCAAGACTCTGTCTCAAAAAAAAAACAACAAACAAACAAAAAAAAAACTGAGAAGTTCAAGAGGGTGACAGTAGAGCATCTAACCAGCCAGGTGCATGTGACTGCCCTTGACTTGCTACAGGAAGGCCACACGGGGGCAGGAGGCTGGCTTGGGCACTGGGCGCTCTGTGTGCCCGAGTGGGGCTGTCAGCCTCCCACGGGGCTCTGGGGGTCCCTTGGGACCACTCCTGCCCTCCTCTGTGTGCTCTGGATCCTCCTGTAAAGTCAGGAAGCCTTGTGGACACCCCCTCCATGTCCTGAAGAGTGACCCCACATCCTGGGCACAGAGGGTTCCCCAAAGCACCCCAAGCCAGAACCGCCTCCAGTTGCCACCGACAGCAACTGGGTCACCCCTTCCTTTGCTTAGCGCTTTGCATATCGTTTGCGTGCTCGGAGGTCCAGGCTCCCCGGATGGCTGGGTCCAGGCCAGGCACCGTGGGCGCAGGTCCCCGGGCTGGAGCTGCCCAAGCCTCAGCCCCCGCGCTGGCCCCAGCCCCTGCCCTCCACGAGCGTCTTCCCTCCCAGCCCGCGACAGTGGCGGGGGGCGGGCGAGCGCCGGCGGAGGGGCCGGGGCGGGGCGGGGGCGTCGCCGCGGGGCTGCGATTGGTCGGCCGGGGCGGAGCGGAGCCATTTGCGGGGGTCCGCGCGGGGGCGGGACCTCCTCGCATTGGTCGGGCAGGGGCTGGGCGGGGCGGGGGCAGCCGCGGAGCCGCGGTCCGCGGCAGGTGTCCGGGGCCCGCGGCCGGGTCCGAGCGGAGCCGCGCCGCTGCCACTGCGGGCGGGAGCGGGCGGGCGCGGGGTCGGCGGGCGGCGCGGGCCGAGGGGCGCGGGATGGCGCGGGCCGGGACGGCGGGCGCAGGGCGCTGAGCGGCTGGCTGGCGCGATGCGGCGCTCGAGCACCGACGAGTCCACGTACCGGCGCAGCCCGTCGCCGGAGGGCAGGGGCCCGGGCTTCGCGCGCGGCGGCCCGTTCCGCCGCTGCAGCAGCTTGTGCGGGCGCTCGGGCGACGGCGGGGGTCCCTCCTGCGGCCTGCACGCGACCCCCGGCCCCAAGGCGGCCCAGGCGCGCTACACGTCGCCCAAGGGCAACAAGTACGTGGTCTTCTACCTGGACCTCTCCTTCATCTTCCTCCTAGAGCTGAAGCGCTGCAGCATGGCGCGCGGCTGCCTCCAGGGCGTCAAGTACCTCATGTTCGCCTTCAACCTGCTCTTCTGGGTGAGTCGCAGCGGGGGCTGGGGGCGTCGGTGTCACCGCTCCTGCAGGGCGTTGGGTCGAGGGGGCTGCGGAGAGCCCAGGGTCGCTGCTTGGGCCGGAGCCGGCGGCTGAGGTTTCCGCTACCGCAGGTGCCCGGCCGGGCCTCTGCCCCGGGACTGCCCGGCCAGGCCGGCTCCCCTCTCTTGCGCATGTGCGCTCGGTACAGGGCTGCCCAGGACACCCCAGGCGCTGCACCTGCGGTTGGGGTCGAGCCCCAGGGGTGGCCCCCGCCCCGCGCCCGCTCCCCAGCGCAGCCTGCGTCCTTGCCCCGCCCCCCGCCGCGCCCCTCCCAGCACCGACCCAGGGACCCACCTCGGGGGCTGCCGGGGAGCGGGCTGCTGGGCCCCTGTGGGATCGGGGTGGGGCCCGACACTGGGGGGACGAGTGCCTGCAGGGAGGCGCCTGGCTTTCCCGCCTCCTGCTCCTACCAGAGCTCCCCTAACTTCTGCGGAGGTGGATTCGGGTCTGCTTGGCCGTGCTGCAGGGGTGTCTGTCCGGGGTGGCTTGTGTGCTGGGTGTAGCAGAGCTGAGTGTCCACTCCACCCCACCCCACAACAGTAGGTCTCACACCTGGTCAAGGTGGAGCAAGCCTGCTGCCACCTGGACCCTGTCTTGCCCCTGGACCCTGAGGGGGGGGGCTGGGCTGGAGTTGGGGGTGACCTCTGATTACCTGGGCCGCCCTGGGCTTCACCGGCTGGGCTAGGGGAGGCTTGGTGGAGAAATGATGCCAAGGTCATTCCGTCTCTGGTCTTGGTTGCCCAGCGAACTCTCCTGCAACTGGGCGCACAGGGGCGTGGCTTCGGCTCCTGCCTGGGCAGTGGACTTCGGGGGTGCTCACTTGCCTGTGGTCTAGTCAAGGCCAGAAGCCCACAAACCCGGGGCCACTTTCCTGCTCTTTCCTTCCCTGCTGGGCCCTGGCTCTTCTCTCTCCAGCTTGGGTGGGGGGTGTGGGTCCCTGGGAGGGACAGCCAGCCTGGGCTGCCTGTGGGGTACAACCCAGGAGGTTCCTGCCCCAAATGTCCACCTCCAGAAGAGGCCGCCCAAGGGTCTGTTCTCTGCTAGAGGTTCCGGGGAGGGCATTGGTGGGAGCCGGGTGGAGGGCTGGTGTGGCTTCCGGAGAGGGGTTGGGGCTGGAGGGCCCAGGGAGTAGGTAGGTGGCCAGGACGTGAGCCTGCAGGCAGGTGGAGGAGTTGGGGTGTGGGAAGGGGGAGGCCCATGCCATGCACCTGCTCATAGGTGGGTGCAGTGGTCTTTCTGTAGCTCCCTTCTGCCCACCTGCCTGGTCAGGCTGCCCCTCGGTTTTGCTCTCTGTCTCCCAGCTCCAGCCTGGCACCCCTCTCTCCTGCCTGTGCCTCGGGACTCACCTCAGAGCCCCCATTCTCTGAAAGGCAGACCCTCCCCAAGGCCTCCACTGACACCTGGCTTCCTGAGACCTCTTTCTGGGCTGAGACCAGACCCCCCCCAGCTCCCCTCACTGTAGGGCTGGGCCCCTGGCGGAGACCACAGTCCTTGACCAGGCCTAGGGTAGCCTTGGGGTCCTACTTGGGGAAAGGGGGAGGGAGGGTGGGGTAGCTCCACAGGTCAGCTGACTCTTGTTTATGTGCCAAATTTGAGGTCCCCTGGAGGGTGGGGCTGCCAGGGAGGGTCTGCACAAAGCCTCCAGCCTGGGGTTGAGGGGGAGGGGTCCTGAGGCAGCCAGGACAGGTAGGTAGCAGGTGCTGTGGTCCCGGTGCTGGGGAACCCAGATAGACGTGCAGACCTGGTGGGGCCCCAACCCCCAGACCCCAAGACGCCTGCCCTCCTTCTGCAAGCGGCGTCCTCACTAAGTGGCCACAGCTCCCCTGGGCAGGCGCTGATGCTCCTTGAGGTGCGCACAGGTGGGGTGGCCAGGTTACAGACAGGGTCCCTGTGGTGGGGCCAGGTATCTCCTGGGAGCCCTGTCCTCATGGGAGAGGCCTGCATAGGGCCCGTGAATGAGGACGGCCAGTGGTGGGGAGGGGGGAGGGGTCCCCGCCCCTTTGCTCTCAGCCTGTGCTAGCAAAGCTCTTCCCATTAATGGAATCGAGGTCCCGGGGGTGGACGCAGAGGACAGGCCTGCTCTTCCTGCCCTCCCCTCCCCTGCCCCACGGGCATCTGGGAGGAGGCTGTTTCTATGGCTCCTGCGTGGCCATCTTTGGGCCATGTACCGGCCGCCCACCGTCCCGCCTGGGCCCCAGCCAGCAGCCTGGCTCCTCCCAGGCTGGGTCCTGGCCAGGCAAGCCCTCCACGCCACCCGTCTCCTGCCCACCCAACACCAGGAGCTCAGTGGGAGCCTTGGGCCGCTCCTTGAATGTGTGGTCTGAGTGGCCGGGATGGGACCCGGGGCAAGCCCTGCCCTTCCCAGGCCTCGGTTTCCTGGTCTGCACCACAGGGCACTGTGCTGGGTCAGGGTCCCCTGACACTGGGCTGGCACAGGAGGTGAGCCCTGCATCCAGCTGCCGGGGCCTCCTTTACTCACTTTAGCATCCTGGTGTTCTCGGTGGGGACGGCAGCAAACACATAAGTCCCTTTCTGCATAAGCCACTGTGTGTCTGCCCTTTGGGGAGTTCGTGGCTCCTCTGATGGGTTGGGGGTCGCAGCGGTTAGTCGGGGGCCCCTGCCTATCCAGCCGTGGGCCCCAGCTGGCTCTGTCTACCTGGTGACTCAGATGTGGCTCCATGGGGCCTCTGCGGGTCCCCAGAGTCCAGCCTGGTGGCAGGCCAAGCGAGCCTCTGTGTGGACGGAACCTTTTAGACATAGAGCAAAAGTGGAGGGCTCTGTCTGGGGCAGAGACATGGCCTTAGCCGCTAAGGGCAGCAGGGGACAGGCAGAGAGGCCGGGAGGCCCGTGCTCGGGAAGGGGGAATGCGTGTGGTAGGTGTGGGGTCTCAGCTGCACCTGCCCAAGGTGAGGCCCTGGCCCTGCCAGTCGGTCTTCCTCTCCTCTCCCAAGCAGCCCTGCTGGGGTCACAGTGTCTCCTCTGGATGCCCCTCGCCCCGCCCACAAACTCCTACTCACCCTGCAAGACCCAGTTCTGCTGCGCTGGGAGGGGTGACCTGCTGGTGAGGGCTGCTCTGCTCTCCCTGCCTTGGACTCTGGCCTCAGTGGGTCCTTGGTCAGTGGGCGTGGCCAGTCTCCTCATCTGCGGGCCTGGGGGGCACCTGGAGAGGCTCCAGGGTCGGGGTGAGTGGACAAGGAGCGTGATGTAGGGATCTGGTATCTTGAGCACTTCCTGCACGTGCAGTTGCTCAGGGCTGGCTAAGAAAACAAATCAGGCTGGGCGCGGTGGCTCACGCCTGTAATCCTAGCACTTTGGGAGGCTGAGGCGGGAGGGTCACTTAAGGCCAGGAGTCCAAGACCAGCCTGAGCAACATAGTGAGACCCAATTCTACAAAAAGTGAGAATAAAATTAGCCAGGCATGGTAGTGCGTACCTGTACCCCCTGCTACTTGGATAGCTGAGGCAGGAGGATCCCTTGAGCCCGGGAGTGGAGGCTGCTGTGAACTGATTGTGCCACTGTAGTCCAGCCTAGATGACAGAGTGAGACCCTGTCTCTTAAAAAAAGACAAAAAAGAAAGAAAAAGAAAGAAAGAAAGAAAGAAAGAAAGAAAGAAAGAAAGAAAGAAAGAAAGAAAGAAAGAAAGAAAGAGAGAGAGAGAAAGAACGAACGAACGATAGATGACAACCAATTGCACAGATTTTAAGTGGACAGGCTCTTCATACCTGGTAACCAACATCCCAGCCAAGGCGGGGACATTTCCTCTGCACACAGCCTTGGTCTCTGCGGGAACCCAGCCCTCCACCCTGTTCCCAGGGCTGGGCCGGCTGCCTGGCCATCTGCCACACTGGCCTGTGACTGGAGGGGCAATGGGCAGAGGGCCAGCCAGCACTGCCCCTCCCCCCGTCTGGGAGGGGAGCACATGCCGTGGTTCCCACACCCAGCCTGAGGCCATCCCCCAAACCCACAGACAGGAACTGCAAGGGCAGAGGAGGGGAGGTGAAAGGACCTCGGCAGCACCTGCCACATGCCAGGGCTGGTTGCTGGCGGTGACCGAGCCTCTTGGCCATCGTTGGCTCAGTCTTGGGCAGAGTCCACAGTCGCTGCTGAAGGTCAAGGTGGGCCGGTGCTGAGTAGGGCTGGGCTGACACCAGCCAGAGGACGGTCCCACTCGGTGCTGGGCCCGGATGCCAGCGGAACACTGATGGGGCCTGCCCGCCCCCCAGGTGTTGCTGCCTGGGCTGCATTTGGCTGGGGAGGGACCTGGTTCTCCCCCCCCACCCCCACCCCGGGGACTTCTGCCTCTGGATCTTCTGTCTAATGGGGCCCATTTCCTCTTGCACTTTGAGGCTGTAATTTTCCTGCCAAAATGTTTTAAAAGCTGCATACCTAGAAACATTTTCAAAATTACAGGTCATTTTATTAACCACGTGCATGCATTCTTTAGTGCTGGCGCGTCTGAGGGTGTACGGGGATGGGTCCAAGGGGTCTGCAGGGACGGGGTGGCCTTAGGGCTCGAGGGGAGTGCCCCGGGTCACAAGGCGAGGCCTTGAGCATGGGGCTGCCTGTGACTGTGCCGGGCATCTGGGGTGGTGTGGGCTGGTGGTGCCTGGCTGGTGGCAGTGAGCAGGTGAGGATGTTCTCTGGAGAGTTTATCAAGGCAGTAGGTTCCCGCCAGGGCTGGGGCAGTCGTGGAAGGGGATGGGGCTTGGGGTTGGGGTGTAGAGCTGCTTCCTGCCCAGGCCCCCATGGAACAGGGTGTTCATTCCCCAACCCAGGGCTGGCGCCAGCCACTTTGCATGGTATCCTCCCCGAGCCCTTCCCGAGTCCCTGTGGGGCGAGGGGAGCTCAGAACGGCTCATTTTCCTGCTGACTTGAGCGGTCCGCTGTCCTTGGAAGGCAGAGGTGGACAGCTCGGGCAGTCTGGGTTTTAAATGACAGTCTTCCCTGTTGAACCAGCACCTCCTCTCTGCTCAGGGACCTGCCATCACCTGGCCTGAGCGCTCAGCTCCCAGGTGTGACCCGCAGGGGGCTGCCTTGTTCCTCAAGGGCAGGACATGTTGTTTGCTGGGCATTGTGCCTGGGGTCACTGGGGTCAGCCCGGCAGGTGGCCATTTCCCGGGGCCTCTTCTGTGGGGCAGGCACAGAGCTGGGAAGGAGCCGCCCCCCACAGTGATTGGGACCCAGGGCCTCACGTCCCCAGTCCTAGGGGCAGCAACAGGGCAGGGCCACGTGTGTCCTTCTGCTCCTCCACTCCCGCTGAGTCACCCCCTGGGCTCTGGAAGGTTCCCCTCAGCTCCCCATGGCCTTGTCTCTCTATGTCAGGACATGTCTGGTGGGAGGACTGAGCCATCGTCTGTCCAGGCCTCTCCTGTGTTCAATGGTTACAAGTGTCACCTCCCCAAGACGGGTGAGGGATGCCCAGAGGTGCTGCCAGGCCCAGCCTCACCCCTCCTAGCGACCCTGGCTGCCGTCAGCACCGTGTACGTCCCACGGCAGGGTCCTGGCCCCACAGGAAGGAGGAGGGCATCTCTGTGGCACTGGCAGACCCCTGCCCTACTCTGCAGCTGTGCCCCAAGCCCAGCTCTCTGGGGAGGACAGACCCCGGTTCTGCACACATGGGCACATCACGCCCCAGCTCTCCACACCCTGGGCTCTCCCCTGCCCTGGCGAGTCCCAGGCCGCCCTCCTCGGGCTGTGCTCGCTCCTACCTCCAAGTCCTTTCCAGGCTCCTAGGTGTGCTCCTTGCCTCTGGGCCGGGTTGCTCAGAAGCCACCCCAGGCTGGGCACTGGGCTGAGGCTTCTGTTGGCTCCACGGCAGCCTCTTGGGGAACCGCAGGGCCAGGCGGTCGGAGTGTGGGCACGTCAGCCCTGCGTCAGGATGCCCCCATCCTGGTGCCCAGAGCACAGGGGCTGACCCCTCCTGTGCTCAGTCTGTCCATTTCTCGCCACCCCCATTCCCTATGCCCTGGGACAAGCCCTGGGCTCTGGGTGTCTTGGCTCGGCAAAGCATCCCAGGGCGGGTCCTGAGCCCCAAGCTCCAGAAACATCTTGCTTCTACCTGTTAAGCAGAGGTGCCAGCCTTCCATGGGAAGCCCCCACATGACAGAGCCCGCATGCCCCCCAGGATGGATAAGGCAGGTGGGGGCTCTCAGGTGTGCTGGCAGGGGGGATTTTCCTGCTCTGCAGGGTTAGACTCTGAGGGGCCTCGGAGGACCCCCGACGCCAGCAGAGGCCTAGGCCTGCACCCCTGGGCACCTGTGGCTGCTCCTGTCCTTGGCTAGGAGCTTGGCCATGGGGGTCCTGCCGGCTGGCTCTCCCCAGCCACTAAGTGAGAGAATGAGAACGCAGCAGCTGCTGCACCTCCCTGTGCTGGGGAGGACTATACACCTGTGTACCTGGGGTCTGTGTACCTGGGGTGTATGCTCCAGGTTTCCTGGGGCAGGGGTCTCGGGCCTGCCTGAGTCTGAGAGGTCCCTGTGTGGGCCGAGGCCCTGGGCCTGGTCTGGCTGGGCAGCTGGGGTGGTGGGATGGGGGCTATCCGTGGTGGCCCCTCTCCCAGTCCTAGTTTCTTTGGAAAACGGGTATGAGTTTGGCCACTGGGGCTCAGCAAGCTGTTGTGGGGTGATGAGGGTGGACACCGTTTCCTCAAGTCTAGGGGGCTCCACGGAGTCGAGGGGCAGCTTTACCAGTCCACACTCATGTCCTGTCCACTCCCCCTGAGTAGGGCAGGGCCCCCAGGGGCTGCCAGCCCCCACCCCAGGGCAGGGACACACCCTCCCGTTTCATCCTGGAGTGACCCAGAGCCAGGAGCCTCAGAGTCTGAGGAACAGGGGGCCAAAGCCACAGCCCCACCAGCCAGCCAGGCTGAGCCCTGCTCCCCAGACTGGGCATCCCGTCCTGAGAGAATGTGAGCTCTCGGATCCCTGCCCCTTTCCCCTCCCCTCCACGCCCATTTCTACTGGTTCTCACCGCAATGAGCAGTAGTGAAACACGGTGGAAGGCCCCGTGGGGAGGAGGCTGTGAGCATGTGCTCCCTTGAGACCTTCCTGCCCCACCAGTGCCCATGTGGCTGTGATGAACCCTAATTAATGATGAGCAGAAGTGTGAGGGCATCAGGGCTCCCTTGCCTAGGGTGACAGCGGGACAGCCAGGGACGCCACAGCACGGATGGCAGACACTCGGGGTCTGGTGTTTGGAATCCCCGGGACCACCCGCCAAGAATCCTGGTTTGGGAGTGAGGGAGCAGGGGCAGCAGACTGCATGGTCTGAGGCCTCTGTCCAGGGGGCAGACCTGGGAGGCAGCGTGGGGGGTACAGGCTGGGTCCTGGGGCCAGAGGAGACCCAGACCCTCTGCTCTAGGCAAGGGGGTGGGCGGATACTTCCTGGGGGAAGTGGCATTCTGGGGAGGCCCTGGGCCCCCTGCCGGCTGTCTCAGGTAGGGGCCAGCACCCCAGCACTGTGGGTCGGGGGCACCTGCCCAGGGTGTTGTGTAAGACTGGGGAGGGGCGCCCAGCCCCGGTGACCCCACAGGATTCTTGTCCTGGGAAACCCGCAGGGCAAGTGAGGATGGGCTGGAGGCCTGCTCTGGACACCCCCAGGGCTATTGCAGGGATTTTTTTTTTTTTTTTTTGAGACAGAGTCTCGCTTTGTTGCCCAGGCTAGAGTGAGTGCCGTGGCGTCAGCCTAGCTCACAGCAACCTCAAACTCCTGGGCTCAAGCAATCCTCCTGCCTCAGCCTCCTGAGTAGCTGGGACTACAGGCATGCGCCACCATGCCCGGCTAATTTTTTCTATATATTAGTTGGCCAATTAATTTCTTTCCATTTATAGTAGAGACAGGGTCTGGCTCTTGCTCAGGCTGGTTTCGAACTCCTGACCTCGAGCAATCTGCCCACCTCGGCCTCCCAGAGTGTTAGGATTACAGGCGTGAGCCACCGCACCCGGCCTATTGCAGGGATTTAGTGGGACTCCGGATGGTTGGGGCTCAGGCCGAGGGAGGGCACGGCCTGGGGTGGGCTGGGCTGTGCGGCGTGGGGAGCCTGGGACCCTGCCTCACGCTGCCTCATGCCTGCTGCGGTTCCAGCTGGGAGGCTGCGGTGTGCTGGGCGTCGGCATCTGGCTGGCCGCCACGCAGGGGAACTTCGCCACCCTGTCCTCCTCCTTCCCCTCCCTGTCGGCCGCCAACCTGCTCATTGTCACCGGCGCCTTCGTCATGGCCATAGGCTTCGTGGGCTGCATCGGGGCCATCAAGGAGAACAAGTGCCTCCTGCTCACGGTGAGTGCCGCCGGGGTCTGCGGGCGTCACGGGGGCAGCGCCAGGTGGGGGCTCCAGGGGCTCCCCCAGGCCGTGGCTGCTGAGGTCCACCTGACATGCGGGCCCCCCTTGGATGCCTGGCCTGGAGGGACGGGAGGACAAGGCTGGGGTGGAGGGCCAGGGGTCTGGAGCAGCCCTGGGAGGGCCTTCGCTGGGTCCTCCAGGCCAGGCTGGGCTGAGGGGGCTGCTTACCCAAGAGCACATGCTGCAGCTTGGTGGGTGCGTGGACAGGGCATGGCCACATGTGAACTGAGACACAGCCCATGCATGTGTGCACACACGTGTGCAGCCACTACTGGGCTTGTTCTCTCCAAGTCTCATCCCTGACAACCCCAGCCCCGCCTGGGCCTGACCCCTCGGCCCCCCAGGACCCTCTGCTGAGAGCCTGGCAGCCCGGCCATGCTTCAGGGATGGATCTGTGGGCAGGGATGTGTTTCCCCTCCTCAGAAACGCTCATCACGGATAATTACAAAGGGAAAGGATTCCTGAGTGAGCCCAGCTGAGGCGTTGGGCGGGGTGGATGCCTGCTCACGTCCTCAGTCGTGAGCCGCAAGGGGTCCCTTTGTCTGTGGAGCTTCCTCAGGTCCCCGGCCCTGGTAGAGCCAACCCACGCCCCCCACATCCCCACCTGTGTCAGCTTTCATGGGAATCCAGCACGTTCGGGAAGATGTTCCCAGCTGGGGCTGGGGACCCCGTGGGGGCAGTGGGGGAGGACACAGGGCACAGCAGGGTCTGCAGAAGCCCTGCTGGGGCTCAGGGCCCCTCGGACAGTGGAGGAGGCCGCAGTGAGTGGCCTCCAAAGGAGCCTGGCACCCTGGGCCCAGGGGCTGACTTGGCATTTGGAGCCCAGTCGGAACAGAGACTGGATGGGGGCAGGAGATGATGATGCCTGCCCCCCGGCCCCCGGCTGTCCCCACTCATGCCCACCTTGTCCACACCCCCCTACCTCTTTGCAGTGTCAATGACCCACATGGAGGGACAGGCTGGGAAGGCTGCCTCTACCCGCTTACCTGGCCAGGGCCACCCCAGGCAGGTCTGGGGCTGTGTGGGTACTGCCTGGAGGGCGAGGTGTGTGTGCGGTCAGAGGTGGAGGCTCCTGCAGCTGTCCAGGCACCTTGGTCTCGCCTGAGGGGCACTGGCCACCCGGCTGCCCTGAGGGGTGTGACGTGGGAGTCGGGGGAGCACTGTGGTGCAGCCCCGCCCCCGCCACACAGGTAGGCAGGAGTGCTCCACCTCCCAGGCCGAGCGCTGTTTGGGATCCATCTCAAACCTCCCAGCCGAGGCACCCTCAGTGCAGCTGATGGGCGGGGGGCTCGTCCTTACTTGGGGGTGTCTGGGTCACTCTGATGGGGCAGAGGGAGCCCAGGCCGGCCCAAGGCCACAAGGCTGAGAGGCTGAGCAAGATACGATGCCCACTGTCCCCAAACCTGGCACTGAGGGTTCCAGGCAGGGTGGGGTGGCACTGGGGCATCTCCAGGAGCAGGGACCTGGCAGCACCACGTGGCCCCTGGCATGCCGGCAGGCTCGGGGGTGGCGGGGTCTGGGGGGACCAGGGTCCAGGTCACCGAGGCCCATCCCCTCCGGCAGTTCTTCGTGATGCTGCTGCTCGTGTTCCTGCTGGAGGCCACCATCGCCGTGCTCTTCTTCGCCTACACTGACAAGGTACAGCTGCTGGCCTGGGTGCGGTGGGCTTGCGCCTGCCCACGGGCTCGAGGGCTCGCTGGCAGCGCTGTGGGTGTGTTTGTGGCTCCCCACACCCAACGGCGCTCAGCCAGGCCGACCCCCGAGCCCTCCAGCGAGCACCTTACAGAGCCCGAGGGGTCCCAGTAGCTGCTCTGCGCTCGCACTGCCCTCCCTCGCGTGTTGTCCGGCTTCCGACGGGAGGTTCCTCTCCTGTCCTCCCTTGCGTACATCAGGACGGGCCTGTTTATGTGTGTTGCACACTTTGGTCACGATCCGGCGGTTAGGTTTTGCTCACGTTGTTCCGTCTGTGGCCACGGGGGAGCTCCTCCGCTGGCTCCCGCATCCCTCCGAGGTGCCCTGTTGGGGCGCTTCCTGACCTTCTGGCATGTGGGGTGCTCCAGGCTCCTTGTGCCATCCCTGCCCCGGCCCCAGATCAGCCACCTCTCCAGGGAGCCTGGTCTCTGCTGGAGGGGAGCCACAGACCAAGGTCTGGCCGGGCGAGCTCGCTGCTCTCGGGGCCTCGGCTTCTGGTCCTCAGCTCACAGCAGGGATGTGTGTTTGTGCTAACAAGTGGACGCACACGTGTCTGCTCGCCCTGTCCCTGTACCCCAGGACCCCACGGTCCTCCCACAGCCCGAGGAGGAAGCCAGGGAAGGGCCTGAGCAGTCATGAGATCCTAGACTGAGTCCTCAGTTTGATGGGTGGTGCCAGGGAGTGATGGGGGCTGGAGAAGAGAGGGCACAGCGAGGGGCCCTGCTGACCCCGCCGCACCCCCAGATCGACAGGTATGCCCAGCGAGACCTGAAGAAGGGCCTGCACCTGTATGGCACGCAGGGCAACGTGGGCCTGACCAACGCCTGGAGCATCATCCAGACAGATGTGAGGCGGGGGGGGGCTGGGGGGTGGACGGGGTCAGCAGGTGCACCCCCACCGCGGGATGGTCTGCTCTCCCCCTCAAGCCCCAGCGCCAGGCCTGTGCTTGCCCCCCAGTTCCGCTGCTGCGGCGTCTCCAACTACACCGACTGGTTCGAGGTGTACAACGCCACGCGTGTGCCTGACTCCTGCTGCCTGGAGTTCAGCGAGAGCTGCGGGCTGCATGCGCCCGGCACCTGGTGGAAAGCGGTGAGCAAGACCCCGCCCCCTGGGGGCTTGTGGGGACCTGGAGGGTAGGGGCTGTGAGCCAGGAGGGCTCCAGCCTGGGTGACGTGCTCTCCTGCAGCCCTGCTACGAGACTGTGAAGATGTGGCTCCAGGAGAACCTGCTGGCCGTGGGCGTCTTCGGGCTGTGCACGGCGCTGGTGCAGGTACCGCAGCCTGGGCTGTGAGGGCCTGTTCCCCTGCGGGTCCCGTGACCGGGTGGGCCTGGTACTGAGCACTCCCCTGCAAGGAGCCAGTGTCCTGGATAGAGGCAGGGCCGTGGGGGGGGGGGAGGACAGGCTGCCCTGAGCTCTGAGGGCTGAGTATGGCCATCTCCCAGCAGAGGCGGGGGGTGGGGGGACAGCCAAGTTCCTGCAGCTCTAGGCCTGGGAAGGTCTGAACCTCAAAGGGCAGGGCCTGCTCACCCAGGCAAGGGGAAGCCTGGGGGGTTCAGGGCTCAGCCCTTAGGTCCCCCTTTCGCGCAGTTTGGCCACTCTGGGCTCCACTGGCAGTTCTCGGGGTGTGTTCTCAGCCCTGGCGTCTCTGTGATGACCCAAATCAAGGAGCTGAGGGTGGGGGTGTGCAGGACTCTGCCCACTGCGTCCTATGCTTGGGCACATCAGGGCCAGGGCTCCTGCTGGGGGTGGGGCACCCTCTGGGCAGTGGCCTGTGGCTCTCTGAGCAGCCCCACCCTCCTGTCCCCACAGATTTTGGGCCTGACCTTTGCCATGACCATGTACTGCCAGGTGGTCAAGGCGGACACCTCCTGTGCGTAGGCTGCCTGCCACCTCGCTTCTCTACCAAAGGCCGCCACCCCCGGGAGAGGGCCACACACCCACCTTTCCTGCCACAGGACTCGGTGCTGCGCTCTGGCTGGGCTCTCTGTGCACCTGCTGTGAGCAGGTGCCTGCAGCCCCCAGGAATCCTGTCCCTGGAAGGCCCTGGGGTCTCTGCACCTGGTGGGAGGGGCGGCCAAGTTGGCTGTGGTACCCAAGGCTGGGGGCGGGAGGGGCCACCAGCACTTTTTATATCTATGTCTTCTCCAGAGCAGTGTTCACACAGGGTGGAGGTGGCCAAGCTGGGGTCCCCAGCCTCCCACAGACTTTGGGTGGGGTGCAGGGGCTGGGTCTCAGCTGCCCCGAGGCCACCCATTGGTCCTGGTGCTCCAGGCGGGGCACAGACCCCGTCATCCACATTCCGGCGGTGCCTGGGCTCCAGGTGCATCTCAATAAAGAGTGTGAGCAGCAGCCCCCTCTGTGTGTGTCACTGGTCTGGCCCCATCCGCTCTCCCCACTGGCACCAGGCAGACTCCGCAGCTGCCACGTGGCATGGACACTCCCACCAGGGCAGCCTGGGTGAGCTGCTGCAGAGGACAGAGCCGCAGGACGCAGGAAGTGGCCCAGAGGCCCCAGGGGAGATTCCTGAGCCCCTCACCAGCGGACTCCCTGTCTCAGCCCCTCCCCTGGGGTGTGCTCCTAGTGGGGCTCTGCTCTCCCCATGGTCCCCATATCCCTTCTGTTCCTAGGAGCCCTTATGAGTGGGCTGGCGGAAGCAAAGCAGTTGTCAGGTGCAGAATTAGAAAAATGGGCACAATGTATCAAACCACCTCAAAGACGGGGTTCTTACAACCAGAGAGTGAGTAGGGTTGTGGGGGGACGGCCAGCACAGGGATGACAGCTGGGGGTCCAGGGTGGGGCATGGGCACCTCCCAGGAGCCTCACTAGCTCTGAGGCATCTGATCCCCCAAACTGCACCCCACAATCTCCAGTTCCAGCTCACTCCTGCCACCTCCTGCTCCCCATCACCCCTTGGGGCACACTCAGTCCCGCTGGCTGTCCCCATCCTGTGTGGCACATCCACCTCTCTGCACCAAGCGCTGACCTTGGGGGACATGAGCAGGGTGCCCGAGTGCCTGGCCCAAAGCTGGGGCCACCCCAGCTCTGCCCTCCCAGTTAGAGGATCTGGCCCACATCCTGGCTCTCAGCTCACTTTCTGTCACAAACCCTTGTGGCTAGACTGGCCTCAGCCCCACACCCCAGGTGCATGGCCCCTCTGTCAGCCCCTATGGCATCCTCAGTGGCCAGAGGGACACTTGTGGCCTGGTCCTGCCCACCCCGTGTAGTCTCTCCCCACCCAGGACCCCTGCCTGGGACACTGAGCCACCTGTGCCCGGGCTCTCTGACGGAGCACTGCCGCCAGCCCACGTGTGGGTGTTGACGTGGTGCTGTGGGTAGTGGGCCCAGGGCTCCCAGACCCCCGCCCTCCCTGCTTGCCTGGGTCTTTGATGCTAGGGAGGGAGCAGGGGTGGCTCTGCTTCCAGCCAGACCCACTAGTTGGTCAGGGAGGGACAGGGCTCAGCCCAACAAGCCCCTGTGGTCCCCAGAGCTGCTGGTGCTCCGGGCCCAGCCCCATGCCCTGGTGGGCAGGACACACCACACGCCTACTCCCCATGAGCGCCGTACATGCAGCCGCAGCACCTGTGCACAGTGACTTCTGACACACTGGGCAGCACAAGGCTGCCCACTGCTCCCTCCACCTGCTTAGGCCAGCCCCACCACCCAGATCTGCAGGGGCAGGGCAGCCCCTGAGGCACTCTTGGGGGTTGGGATGGGGTGGCTGGCTGAGTCTGTCCATCCTACAGCTCCCCTGACCATCCTGAGCCCCTGGCCTGTGGTCACACTGGTGGAGCTGGTTGCCGGGGGCTGCCCCAGCCAGAGCCGGGCAGTGTCCTGAAGCTGGTTCCCACCACAGCCCACCTGGCCAGGCCAGACCTCCCATCCACACCAAGAGCAGCTCCCTCGGCCAAGCGACCCCAACAAGGGGCCCAGCCAGGCCTGTGAGTTGGGCCAGGCCCTGATCCCAAGGACAAACATCTGCCCCCTTCAAACCCTCCCCCATTCCCAAACCCATGGCGGGGGGGCATGATTCCTGTGCCCCAGACCCCAAGGGCTTCGTGGAAGCTACAAAGCTCAGGCCCGGTCCTGGTTAGAGGGTCTGGCCGGATGACCAGGGTGGGCTATAGGCCCTTGGTCAGTGATCACAGAGGACCCACCTGTGCGGAGCCAGCGGAGGAGAAAACCCCACCGACACTGATGTCCAGGAAGGCTGAGGAGCCTCACAGCCCGTGGGGGCGGGGGCGGCCACACCGGGGCAGGTGGTGCCTCCAAATGCCCAGACACCTCCCTGACACCTGGGCTGGGCCTGGCCGTGGCTGCACCACAGGGCAGGGGGAGCTGGCCAGCCACCAGCTCAAGCCACATTTTACCAGTCATGCCGTCTTCCCCGACACAGGCATGTCCCCTCACTATGTTCCAGGCTGTGGCCAGGCCAGCACGGGGGTCATGCCATCGGAGGTGGCAGAGCTGGCCTGGGGTCCAGGGCCAGAGTTTCCAGGGGGTGGGGCTGGCTCCTCTGAGCCCCCGTTTCCGAGGTGGCCCCCATGCCTTAGCTGTGCTGGGCTCAGTGGGGACGTTGGCATGACAGCTGCAGGTGCACACGTGCCCGTGGCAGGCCAGGTGTGACTGCGGTACATGGGGCAGGGCCCTCAGCTCTGCCGTTGCCAGGCCCCGGGCTCCAGGCGTGGGTGGGTCTGGGATTGCTCCAGAGCTTCCAAACCCACATCCAACCCCGAGGCCGCCTCGGGAAGCAGCTGGGACAGGCCTGTGGGGTGGGGGCTGTGGGTCCTGCGCTCTTGCCGACTGGGTGCCCCCACAGCCAGGACTCCTCCCAACACTTGCACCCAGCACAGGGCCCCTCCGTGTGCGGGTGCGGCGTCACGTGGCACCTGGCCCCCCACTGAGGACCCCGGCAGACATGTCTCGGCAACAGAGCAGAGCCTGTATTTCGTACAGTCAGTCCCGCGTGGCTCAGAGCCGTGCTGCCCAGTCTAGAGCAGGTCGTAGAAGTAGTCCAGGCCCTGGCCCAGCTCCCAGATGGAGATCCCGACGCCCAGCTCCCTGGCCAGGTCCAGCCTCACCTGCAGAGACTGTGGGCAGATAGAGGTGTGGGCGCCCGCCAGGGCCCCCGCCCCCCAACGCACCCGGGGACCATCCGGAGGCCAAGGGCGGCATGGCCAGACTCACTGACTGACACTGCCCACCTCGGGGGAAAGGGCAGAGCACGTACCTTCAGAGTGGGGTAGAAGACGACGTGCTTCCAGCCACGGCTCCTGCGAGACAAGGGGGGCTGCCTGTCGTCTCTGGGTGTCCCGGACCCTCCCCACCCTGGCTGGGTCAGGGGCCTGGGCTCCTCCCATTGTTCTCCTGTGCCACCTGCTGCCTGGCTGTGCTCAGGGGCAGGGGTGACAACTGAGCTTGTAGAGCTGGGGACCCTGGTGCCCGGCCCCCAGGCTCGCTGCTCCACCCTCACCCCGGGGCTGCATCCCTACGGATGGGCTGGGTCATCCACATCCCAACACTCACTTCTTGTACTCGAAGAAGTGCTCTGAGGCCTGGCTGTCCCACACAATCCGGGGCCTGTGGTCCTTCAGGACCTGGATGTACCTAGGGAAAGCAGGTGTGGGTGTGGGAGCCTGCTGCACCCAGCCCCTCCGGAGGCCGTGGCTATCTCAGGAGGGGCGAGGGCAGCAGGTCGCGGGAGCCACTGTCCCCAGTGGTCTAGGGATGGCAGCGACGCCCTGTGATCTGTGGGAAGGCTGGCGGGGTGGCCAAAGCCCCAGACTCTACCGCATGTGTGAATCCTGTATTCAAGGAAATATCAGAAAACACCTCTTTCCAAGAGCCTCCTTGGGGGCAGCCATCCACTGGGTCTCCTTGATACTCTGCTCTGGAGAACAATGGGTGCTCGCGCTTGGGGTCACCTGACCCTGGGGTGCTGCTTGTCCTTCGAAGTAGCTGCTGGATGTGGGCTCCTCGCTGTGCCCGGAGCCCCAGTGCAAGGGTGACCAGATGACCTCAGGTGGCCCCAGCCTGGCCGCAGGCCCTGGGGTCAGGGGCTGTGCCTCCTACTAGGGACAGCAGCCCAGGGCATTGGTTCCTGGGCCTGTCCAGGGGCCTGGGTCTCCCTTGGCCTCCTTCCTCCACTGTTGAAAATGGCTGCTTACATTCAGGGCTGCCGCAGGCCCTTCCTGGGCACCAGAAGCTGGATTTGAGAGCCACCCCTCCACTCACACAGAGGATAGGCTCAGTCCCAAGGTGCTGGGGCCACGACTGGGGTTTCCAGAACTCGTGGAGTACCCCACATGCATGCCACCATCTCCCACTGAATATCTGAGACTGGGGCTGGTGGTCCCAGGACCCTATGAGCCACAGCCCCCAGCAGTGCAAACACATGGTTCTGGAAGCTTCTTGTCTCTGTAGGTAGGAGTGGAGGGCTCCCTCAAGCAGCTGACAGCTGGACGTGAGCAGTACCTGCCACACACGGACAGCACCCACAGGGTACCTGGGCCTGCAGCCGGGGCTCCGAGAAAGGAGGACAGGCAGGGCAGCTGCAGGGCCTGAGGGAAACGGGGCTGGGCAGCGCAGTGGGTCATCCAAGGAAGAAGCGGTGGCCAACAGGGCTGCCTTCCCTGGCTCCTGACCCCAAGGTGTGGAATGTCTCAGGCTGGGGCACTGACAGAGGCCCCCCGACGCCTGGGGTCTCCCCCAGACCACAGCACCTGTCACCCTGTCCAGCAGTGCGCAAGAGAACGCTGGACCCTCAACCCTGGGCCTGGGTGTGGGGAGGGGGCTGCTCCACAGGCATGGGGGCCTCCCGGACCCCACAAGACACCAGGACGAGCAGGAGAGGGAGGGTGGGGCGCAAACCCCTAACTAAACAGCGCAGGTCACGGCAGCCTCCCTAACCTGAGCTTCCTTCAGATGCTGTAATGAGACTGTACCGGAGGCGACCCCAGCTGCCCCAGCCTGGGAAAGCACTGCTGGCCCCTAGGACATCCCAGCAGGTACTGCCCTCCCCAACCTGGTCCGGGCTCCTCAATGCTACGTGCAAGCCATGCCAACAGAGCTCACGGACACGCGTGGGCTGTGGCAGGCCTGCTGAGTGCGGGGGCTGGAGGGGGACTGGGAGCCCTGGGGAAGGGTGGCAGCACACCCTTGCCCCGGGGACTTAACTCAGGACACGACAGCTGCCCTGCAGCCCTGGCTGACTTGGGAACCCCACACCCCGAGAGTTACCTGCGTCTACTGCAGGTGCAGCCGCGACCCTGTCACACAGCTCCAATGGTCTAAATTACTGGATCACCCTTCATTCAAACACCACTCCAGATGTGGGTGTCATCTGTGGCTTTCA